GACTACTAGTACTATTACCACTACTACTACTACTACTACTACTTCTACTAGCTCGCTAGTCCTGCTCGCATAAGCACAATGACCATTTATATCGACCGACCCCTTGTCTGCCTCTAGGCGTGCGAAAAATCTGCCGCCAGAAGCCACAACAAGGAGTCCCAAACCGACACAGGACTACCCCCGCAGGTCCCGGACGGACCTCACCAGCAAGATCGAACCACACACACACCACTGCATAGAAAAGACGGGGTCACACGCATTCTCCTCCTCCTCTTCCTCCTCACGTGGGGGGGGGGGAGGAGGACAAGGAGGAGTAGGCGAATAATGTCGGCGGAAGAGAAGGAGGAGGAGGCGGACGAAATGCATCTATTCGTTAGGAAAATCGGCCCTGGGGCTGTAGACGTTCTCCTTGCGCCGGACAGGACCCCCGAAAACCGACGGGGCGTGAAGACGATATCCCCTCCAAATGAATCCCTGGACCCCTACCAGAGCCCGCTTGACGCCGTGTCCTCATCCTCACCTTCCTCCATCTATTTATCTTTCCACTCCTCTGCCTCATCCCCCACAGAGGCACCCAGGACCCCCCAAGAGCCCCTGGGGAAGGGAAATACAAAAGAATTGACACCTGAGCGACCAAAGAATAAAAGGGATCGGCGGATGTGGAAGCCTGTAGAATCATTTGGGTGGATTTCCTTCCGGCACGCGGTTCCTCCGGCCATACCGGCCGCGTAATCTGCCCGCCATGGTGTGCGTGGGAGAGGAGTTGGAGGGGACGGTGTGGATAGAGGAGGTGGCCGCTGGAGGGGGAGGTGGGCGAGGGATGCAGGCAAACAGGCCTGAAGGCAGGAACGCGGTGGTGGAGCCGGTGTCAATAGAAGCACACCCATGTAGGCACGACATGGTGTGGACAGAAGCTGTTTCTCACGCCGCGCTCTGTGTTCATCATAGCTTCTGCGGGGCGGGTCGCCGTGAGAATTGTATCTGCTCTTCGCCGGGTCCGAATGATCTTTCTATCTGGTAGTCTGGTGAGAATAGGGCCGGTGGGCGCGGGCATGTTCCTGTTCGTTCGTCTGGAATGTAGACGGCAGAAGAGGCCCGCAAAATGGCGCCGAGACGGCCCGCACTGGGGCCGCTCAAACGCACGGTGCACGGGAGGATCACCGCCCTGGGGCCGTCTGGGGGCTCCCTGGGGGCTCTCGGGAGCCGTGCAGCTCTTTGGGGAATCTGGTGGGGACCTCTCGGAAACCTCGGGGAAACTGTCCGGGGGGGTTCTTGGAACCCCTAGTATTTTTCGTGAGCGAGATGCCGCGGCATCTCGCTCCGTGGCATCTCGCTCCACTTGGTTCTTGAAAGCTGTCGAAGTGCCACTGGGCTCTTGTTGGGGCCTGCGTCGTGTCGTTTTGGGCCGATGTGGGAGTATGATCGGGTCCTCTTGAGAGTCTGTGGAGGGTTTCGGGGCGGTCTTTCGGGACCCGAAATGCCCGTGAGCAAGATGCCGCGGCATTTTGTCCGGGTCGATTTTTGGATCGGGCTCTTTTGGGACCGATCCACCTTCGGGCGCTACCTCCAGCCCAAGACTGCCTAACTGCCTTAAGTTGAGATGGCCCCGAGTCGGCTTCTTGAGCCATGGGGACTGACTGTTGGGCTATTAAGCCTCTGAGGGCTCCCCTCAAGCCGCCAGAAAATCCCGAGGGCACCGAGCTGCAAACTAAAAAAAACATGGGGCTTCTGCAAATCACGCCAGGCCGGGTCGCGATTAGCAAAAACACGTGGTTCTCCACCGACGCTATTTTGCAATGCGACATGTATGGTTCGTGTTCTTCCTCCTGCTCCTCCTCCTCCTCCTCCTCCTCCTCCTCCTCCTCCTCCTCCTCCTCCTCCTCCTCCTCCTCCTCCTCCTCCTCCTCCCCCCCCGTCAGGCTATGCCGGTTTCCCACGCCCGTCGTTTCGTGTATGTATGTGCATCAATTTCTATTCGTATATTTTTATAAGGCCTGGGACCCCGGAAAAAGCGCCCCCCCCAAAAGAATTTGGCCCGCCCCGGGCCTTTCGGGCAGCTCCCCAGACGACCTGTGAGGACCCTCACGAGAGCCCGAAGACGGCCCCAAAGGGCCCCCGACGTTCCGGCTCGCTCTGGAAACGGCTCCAGAAAGCCCCAAGACGGTCGACGACGACCCCAAAGGAGCCATTATACCTCCAAAGATCGGCCCGAAACGTCCCAAGAGGCCTCCAAGAACACTCCCGAGAGGGCCCAAGAGGCAAAACTCATTGATTTTCTGTTGGTTTATAGGTGATTTGAGAATTCTCCCCTTTTCAGCTTCCCGACGCTCCAAGGCGGCCCACGAGGACCCAAGATCGCCCTAAGATGGCCCGACAGACCTCCAAGAGGTCCCCAAACCGGCCCAAGAGGGCCCGACAGGGCCCCAGGAGGCCCCAGGACGCTCCCAAGAGGCCCCCTTGAAGCCCCAAGAGGTTCCCAAAAGATCCCGCAAGGACCTCTCAGAAGTTCGTGATCTCTCCAAGACGTCCCAAGAGGCCTCCAAGGGCACTCGCGAGAGGGCCCCAAGAGGCACAACTCATTGATTTTCTGGTGGTTTGTTGTTTTCGACGCTCCAAGACGGCCCACGAGCACCCCAAGATCCAAGAGGGCCAAAAACCGGCCTAAGAGGGCCCCAAACCGGCCCAAGAGGGCCCCCCAGACAGTCCCGACAGGGCCCCAGGAGGCCCCAGGAGGTTCCCAAGAGGCTCCGAAGAGGCCCCAAGAGGCCCCCCAAAGGCCCCCAGGAAGCCCCAAAAGGTCCCGAAGAGTCCCAAAAGATCCCGCGAGGACCCCACAGAAAAATTCGAAGACGCCCAAAAAGGCCCCCGCGGCAGGCCCAAAACGGAGCCCAAACATGACCCCCAAACAGCCCAACAGAGCCAACACGCGCCCCAAGACGGGCCCAAGCCATAAAAGGACTACACCACGTCCCACAGAGGCCCTCAGAAGGCTCCGGGAGGCTCCAATAGGGTCCACGTGACGTTAACACTCTGAACGCAAGGCCTCCCAAGAGCGAACGGCGGCGCAAAACAACTTCAGCGTCGAGATAATGGAGCCCCGCTGCGACACGTCCCGAGGTCACCCAAGGCCCTTACACGGCGCCATCCATAGTCCCAAAGACACGCTCATTGGTAGGCCCAGGTCGCCGTTTCACACTGTGCCGTGTCCTCCATGCCGTCTCCTACCCAAGTCTCTCGGCACTCGCGAGCCTTTCACTGCGTTTCTGCCCCCCCCTCTGTGGCCACGACCGCGTACATGTATATGTATATATATATACATATATAAATATAAATAGACATGCCTACGTGCACACGCAGATCCGCCCAAGTAGACAGGATACATATGCATGCGCATATTTGTATATACATATATATATATACATATATATATATGCATATACACATACATACCTACGTACATCAATATAGCCGCACGTCTATGTCTACATATGTACGGCGTGCATCCACGTGCGCGCATGACATGTATGATATTCGCGCGCGCATGTGCATGCGCACTCACGCTGCCCGTGTGCGAAACTCGAAGGACAAAGGTGCATGGCGCGAAGCGTCACTGCAATTTTGCATACATACATATATTTATATAGATACTCTCCCGCTTCCCGGATCAGTGCAATTCCTCTGGACATGGGTGCTGAATGGGCTGGTGGGGTTGGGCGAACTTCTTGGACATGCTGAGGCTCCAACTCCGCATGAGTGGGCAGGGCTTGAACATCTTCGGGTTTTCGCTCATCGCGCCCGCGCGTGGCGCGATTAGCAAAAACCTAAGGCTTTACTTGCAGCTGGGTAGGGTGATGCCGTCTGATGGCAGGGTGACACCGTCTGATCTGCTGGCGCCTTCTGGGCGGCGTATCCCGTGGGCTTCTTGGAGCTATCTTGGGAGTCAATTCGGGGGTACATTAGGATTTCTTTGGGGCCTCTGAAAGCTCTCGTGGGCAATCCTGGGGCCCTGTGTAGCCGTCTTGGAAAGCTCGGGCTTTCTTGGGCCCCCCTTGGGGCTGTCCTGGGGTCTTTTGTGGGCCTCCTCTGGCTGCCTCGGGGCTGTCATGGGGTCCTCTGGGACCCTCTTGGGACGTCTTGGGGGCCTCATGGGCCGTCTCAGGCCGTTTTGGGGCCCTCTTGGCAGCCTCTGGTGCCGTCTTGAAGCGGCCAGGGGGACCTTTGCGGCAGTGTGGGACGCTGCGGAGGCCAAAGCGAGTTTGGCCAACACGCATGTTTCCCTCGGGGTATGGGACGACATTGGCTTCGAGGGGGTCCTGTCGGGGGCGTCTGGGCCGTCCTCTGTGCGATCGGAGCAACTGCGAACCGCTCATGGGCGACTCAGACGGCCGCCAGAACCGCTCAGCGGCGAGGCAGACGGCCGCTAGGAGCGGCACGGCACGGAGGAGCTCCGACCCGGAGCGCCTCGAAGCGGCCCAGAGGGGACCAATTCGCTGCCACCGCAGGGCCATCCCGCGAGCGCGGGGGGATGGCATCATGGTATAGAGGACGTCGGGCTCCACCTTCGCCTCCCGCATCTCGAGCAGCAACGCCAGCGCCCGTTGCCACTGCTCGCCGTTGTCGCACGCGCTGATCCCAACATTGTAGCTGATGACGTTGGGCTCCGCATTCGCCTCCCGCATCTTGCTCAGCAGAGCCAGAGCCTTGCTGCCGCTGCTCGCCGTTGTCGCACGCGCTGATCCCAGCGCTGTAGCTGACGACGTTGAGCTGAAGCTTTGCCTCCCGCATCTCGCTGAGCAGCGACAAAGCCCGCTGCCACTGCTCGCCATTCCCGCAAGCGCTGATTCCAGCGCTGTAACTGAAAACCTCGGGATCCACCTTCGCCTCCCGCGTCTCGACCAGCAGCGCCAGAGCCCGCTGCCACTGCTCGCCCTTATCGCACGCGCTGGTCCCAGCATTGCAGCTGATGACGTTGGGCTTCAGCTCCGCCTCCCGCATCTCGCTCAGCAACGCCAAAACCCGCTGCCACTGCTCGCCTTTGCCGCACGCGCTGATTCCAGCACTGTAGCTGACTATGGATGACCCGTGGACTACATTCACTTGCGAGGGGAGTGGGTGGTGCCGCCATGCTCACTCGCTAAGAATGTGTCCCATGCTCGCTTTCCACATGCCGCTGAGCAGCGGGCGCGCCAGGTGCGATGGCTTGCCCGTCGCGTCTGGCCAGCGGGTGGGGGAGGGGAAGTAGGGGCATGAGATGTCGGTTGATTTTTTTTTGGGGGGGGCATTCGCCCAAGTGCCCCAGGAGGGTGATCGGGGGGGGGGGGGGGGGGGAAGGCGGTTGCTGCTGGAGCGGGCGTGACATGTTCTTGGTGCGCGGGGGTCGCAACCTCGTCGTTCACGGGGGTCGCTGGGCCGCGTGGGGCCTGCCGGGGCCGGCGTCGGTCTCTCTTGGCTCGCCTCCGCTCCTGCCCAGACGCAGCGCTGGGACAAAGCTGGGCCGCGGGGGCAGTGTCGAGTACGGAGGCCGCGGGTTAAACCATGTCCGCGGGCGGGCTACGGACAGAATCTTAACGCGCGACCCGCGGGGGCGGATAGACGACCAATCATCTCAAGATCGGACTTCGGAGCCCTCCAGGGGTCCCTCGCTCTATGGCTCTCTTGGGACAGGGTCTTCTTGGGCTGTCTTGGGGCCCTCCTGAGGGCCTCCTGGGTAGTCTGGGGCCGATGAGAAAGTTTCCTAAGGCCGTCTTTGGCGATCAAGAACCCGAAAAGGCGATCAAGCCAAAACCCTTTAAAAACTGACGGAAATCCTGAATGTTTGCTTCTTGAGCCTCTCTCAGGATTCCTCTTGGGCCTCTCCTGGGGCGGATTGGGGCCTCTTGGGAGCCTCCAGGCAGCCGTCAGAGGCACGTTTGGGGTCTCGGGCCCCTCCTGGCCTCCGGGCCCCTCTTGGGGCGTCGTTGGGGCCTCCTTGGGGTCTTCTTGGCGAACTTGGGGCTCCCTGGGGCCGTCTTAGCGCCCTCTTGGGCCGCCTTGGCTTGCCATCGCTCGGACGGCCATTCCCCGTGCAGTTTTCGGCTTCGTGCGTTTAGCATTCGCAAGATGATCCAGGATGCTCCTCGATGGTCTTCGCCGAAGAAAACGCACACGTCCGAGCGATGCCAAGCTGGGGTCCTCTTGGGCCGTCTGGGGGCCCCTTCAAGGCCTCCTGGGCCCTCTGGGGCCGACGTGGAAGGCCCCCGAGGTGGCCTGGAGCAGTCGACCATCCCAAAAGGGGAAGAAGCGCCACACGGCCGAACACCGACGGGGAATCATTGAACGTTGCGTCCTCGGGCTCTCTCTTGGGGGTCCCCTAAGTGCACCTGCAGTGTAGGCAAGAAGACGACGCAGGGCTCCACCTTCGCCTCCCGCATCTTGCTCACCAGTGCCAGCGCCCGCTGCCACTGCTTGCCCTTTTCGTACGCGCTGATCCCAGCATTGTAGCTGATAACGTTGGGCTCCACCTTCGCCTCCCGCATCTCGCTCAGCAGCGACAAAGCCCGCTGCCACTCCCCGCCCTTCTCGAACGCGCTGATCCCGGCGCTGTAGATGATGACGTCAAGCTCCACGTTCGAGTCCCGCATCTCGCTGAGCAGCGACAGAGCCTGCTGCCATTGTTCGCCATTCGCGTACGCGCTAATCCCAGCGCTTTAGATGATGACGTTGGGCTCCACCTTCGCCTCCCGCATCTCGCTCAGCAGCGACAAAGCCCGCTGCCATTACTCGCCCTTCTCGAACGCACTAATCCCAGCGCTGTAGAGGATGACGTCAAGCTCCATCTTCGAATCCCGCATCTCGCTGAGCAGCGACAGAGCCTGCTGCCACTGCCTACCCATCCCAGCACTGTAACTGATGACGTCGGGCTCCACCTTCGACTCTCACATCTCGCTGAGCAGCGACAATGCCCGCTGCCATTGCCCGCATCTTCTGCAGACGCTGACAATCGCAATGTATTGGCCTGGGGAAGGTTTCAAGCCAAGTTGAATTCCTTTGCAAAAGAATTGCAATGCTGCGCTCCATTGCTTTGTCCGCGTCAACTTCTTGTTTGCCACTCTCCTTCCCCCCCCTGAGCACCCGGCCCCTCCCGGCGCCGCCCAGCCTCCTCAGGGTGCGGACGACGCCCTGCATGGTGAGCTTCTGCTGCGCGCTGGCGGCCGCGGCACTGCCCCTCCGCGCCTGCGGAGCCGCCCCCGGGCCGCTCCGCCTCTGCCGCGCTGGGGCCGGCGCCTCCGGGACCTCCGGCGCCTCTGCCGCCGCCTGTCGGGCGGGTGGCAGGGGGGGTGACCTGAGCGGGGCGTGGAGAGGGGCCCTCCAGGGGGCCCTTCTTTACCCTCCATTTCTCGTTGTCGCTCGGACGTCCATTCCCCGTGCATTCTTCGGCTTCGTGCGTGTTTTTTGGTTGCTCGATGGTCCAGGATGCTCCTCGATGGTCCTCGCCGAGGATCACTGCTCACGTCCGAGCGATGCCAAGCCCAGTTAGGCCACCCTCCATTTCAGTCGGTCCTGGGCCAGAAGAGCATCCCTCAAGAACATGAGACCCTCCGTCGGCCAGCACATGCAGAACATCCAAGGGCACCCTCCCCAGGATGCACACTCACCCCCCACAACCACGAACGAAAACCAGGGCACCCTTCCACGGAAACTGACCTCGATCTCATATCGGGGGCGGCCAATAGGGGGGGTGGGGGCGTCCAAAAGGGGGAGAACGCAACTCATGGACGGCGGTATGTGCGCGGCCCCGGGGTGGCCGGGGACGTATTGAAACAAGAGGAGGCGCCATGAAATCTGGGGAGATATCATGGCCCCCACCATGATATCCCCCCACCCCTTGTCATCACCCCCCTCTTGGCCACCCCCGATCACACCTCGGTCCGACGGTACCACTCGCCCGAGCCTCCCTCTGCAGCAGCGCGTCAGACTTCTGGTACCTCACGGCCTTGGGCGCCTGGGGTCGCGCCGCCCGCTCGAGAAGCGGCCGAGCGGACGGGGTCGGAGGATCGCGCCGCGCCGCATCGGCGATGCATCGGCGACGCGGCGACATCTTCTGACCCTGTCTGGTCGGGCCCCATCTGCGAGTTGGCGGGGATTCGGTGGGAACTCATGGGGGCCTCCCATACCCTCTTGTTGGCTCTTGCGAATCGACGGTGATCGACGCTAGTCGACGCTAAATCGACCCTAATCGACGCTAAATCATCGACTACCAGACGATAGTGGCCGCTAGGGCACCATAGAGTGATAATTACGAGGGTACACAAGGCTCCAATAACTTGAAACCGAACAGGGCGAGTGGAGGGAGAGAGAAGCAGGCGGAACGCCAAAGAACGCGAGATGAAGAGACGAGGCGACGAGGCCGCGCGGTTGACCACGACGCCCCCCTTTCTGCTTTGACTCATCGGCAGGCAAGAGCACGCAACTGGGGTGTGGGCTCATCAAATCGATCCATCACTTCAGGTTCCGTGCTGGGATGGAGGCTTGGTTCTGCGTCGCCTTTCGAACATGAGCAAATCTCCTGCCTTGCAACTACCACTACTGCCAAGACCTTGGATCAGGGGATTGAAGAACATGCCGAACGACAACTCCGATCGAAGAGGGAGCCCGCCTCCACACGTGTAGTCGTCTCCCTGTTTTGGACAAGAGAAGTTATCTAGCAAGAGCCCACGCTGAACAGAGCCGCTCTCTGTCAGGGCAAACATTTTTGCGCATTTTCGCTCACTTCTAAACGAAAACCCCGCCTTGCGAAAGAACCACCATCCATCCGTACGTGTAGCTGTTGGAAACTTTCAAACATGTACGCGGTGCCTAAATGATACCCACATTTAGAAAACGGACCCTTCATCCGTTTAACGTTTGTAAGCTTTCCAGACAAACGTGCTCACCGCTAAACATAATACAGCATGTTCAAACCATCGCGCCCTCAATGTGTGGAACGGTTGCACGCTGTTTGCGGTGAATGTGCGCAACGCTAAGGCGGGCACGATATGTGGCAAACCGCCTGCCGCATTGTTGTGGGAAAGGAACAGCTATCTGGTTGCAGTTGCCAGGCCGATTCCTCGTGACTTGGGTGTCTGTTCCTCGCTCAAACTTTTTCATGCTATGCTATGCTGCATTAGTGCTAACACCGATGCTAATGCCAACGACATGCCATGCTAGTGATAATACCGATGCTGTCGCTAATGCTCCGCTGTGCTGCGCTGTGCTTAGCTGCGCAGCGCCGTGCTGTTGTATGCTACCCTGAGCTGCGCAATGGCATTCCATGCTATGCGCTGCGATGCCATGCAACACAGTGCGACGCGATCCCATGCTACGCAACCCTTTCTGGTATTCAACGCAACACGTTTCCAGCATGCTATGGTAAGCTAGGAGAGGCTGTGCTATGTGCTGTTGCGAACTTCACGCGTTGCAATGCGTGATTCTTAATGATGCTGCACCTCGATGCGTTGGATTAGCCATGTACGTCCACACTACAGGGGCGATCATATCCCCATACGTGGGTCGAACAAAGCAAGTCCAAAAGCATGGATTCTCGGTCCCCGTCTTCCGCCTCTCTGCCACGATGCGCGGGTTGAGACGAGCAAGAGAGCACGCGGCAGCCGGCCGAGTAGCTGCCGCGAGCGAACGCGGCGGCCGTCTCCACCAGCAGCTGAGAGACCTGTTTACGGACGGAGTACGAGTGGGGCACTAGGAGGAGGGTGATGAGGAGGAGGAGGGGGAGGAGGAAGAAACATGACACTAATAGCAATGGTAATGCCGAGGAGATGGGGAAAAGGGGATGAGCTTCTCCTGCTGCTCGCTCTTGTCACTTTGAGTTTGCTGGAGCGGTCCTGATCCAAAACAAGCCCTCCTCCTCCGTATTCCTGCCTCGCGTCCCTCCCAAAATCGCTAGTTCAAGCTATCCTGAAGCGCGTTCCTGCCAGACCTCCGAGGCAGATCCAGCCGTGGCCACAAGGGCGTCAACAGGCCTCGATCCTCGATCTGCGTCCTCTTCGCGGGAGGAGCGAAGCGAGGGAAAGGAGAGGACGAACGAGAGGAAGAGAAGAAGGAGAAGGAGGAGGGCCCTTCAGGGGAGGCTGGTCCCCGATGGGAGCCCCCAGGGCTGAGGAAGAGGGACGAGGGCGGTGGACGGGCGGGGAGAGAGGAGGACAAGGAGCAGACACAGATGAGCAGGGGAAACGGGGACGGAGGTGAGAAAGAGGGGGGAATATGCAGTCGGACCTGATTGGAGAGGACATGCAAGAGGACTCAAGACCCTTCCGACGGCCACGTTGCCATCGGAATGCAGCAGGCTTGGGTCGCGAAACACAAGACACAAGGGTACGCTTGCTTTGGCGAAGCCGACCAACTGCATCCTCATCCGGGCCGACTGCACGCGGATGAGGAGTCTCGCCAAATCCCCGAACAAGGCCCCGAGGCCCAGCCGTGAATGCCAGCCCCGGGCTCCGCTGGCCCGCGGGGCCAAACCTTCCCCCAGACTGCCCGACGCCTGGGGCCCGCGGAGGCCGAAGCGCGACACGCATTATGGTCAAGGCGTCGGTGGTCTGAGTGTTCCTCCTCCTCCTCCTCCTCCTCCTCCTCCTCCTCCTCCTCCTCCTACCTTTTGGCTGAAGTGTCGTGCCGACGCAGCCCTCCCATCTCTCTTCCTCCTCCTCCTCCTCCTCCTCCTCCTCCTCCTCCTCCTCCTCCTCTTTTTCGGTGGCGAGCTAGGGGAAGTGAGAAGGAAAAGGACTTCTCAGAAGGCGGCAGAGCTTCTCAGAAGCCCTCGCGCCCTCTCAGAAGTCTTCTGCGTCTTGGGCCAAGGCTCAGACAACTTCTCAGCTGCCCGGGGGACTTCCGAATCTTCTGCGGAGGCCCGCCCCTTCTCACCTCTGCCCTGGGCCCGCCGCCGGCTTTCGGCACAAAGGGAAGCGGGTCCTGTGGGAAACGGGTTTTCGTCCCTGGGGCCTTCCTCCTGGACGAGCTCTTCCTCCCGAATCGTTGTCTGACAATCCCGACGCCCGTGGAGGGTCCGGGGAAGCCCAAGACGGCGGAAGACCTCAGAACCCGTTGCCCACAGGACGCGTTTCCCCCATGGCGACTCTTCCTCCGCCTCTGATGTCTGAGAGGTCGACCCCGTGCCCACCCAGGCCGCCTGCTCGCTCGGGTGCACCAGGTCCACCGTGGCGCTAAGCCCGCGCTCCTCCTGGACCTGGCCGAAGTCGCTCCTGGCAGGAGCCTATTCTTGGTTAGACTCTGGCAAGCTCGCTTGCATGGAGGGAGGGGGGGGCTCCCTGGCAAGCCCATTTCCGGAAGACTGCGTATCATGCACATAGGAAGCTACTTGCACGCTCCTGGTGCCGAATGAGACGACGGCGGGAGGCCTGAGGGGGGGCGGAGCAAAATTCCAGGCATGCAAACTTGCTAGAACCTGCTTTCACTGTCACGCAAACAACTATATAAAGGGGGAGGCGCTCCCAAGACAGCCCGCGCCTCGAATAATCAAGTCAAAACCAACTTGTCGCAATTGCTGAACCTCGGAAGACCGGGGTCTCGGGCCTCAGGTCACGGACAGAAGGGGGACAGGGATGGGTCGTCGACGGGGTCAGTGGCGCATGACCCTGAGAGCGCGTACGGATAACTACAACGATAACGATAACAACGATAACACCAACGACGTCGATTACAACGATAACTGAAACGATAACAACGATCACAACGATAACCGCGATCACAACGATATCCGCCGATCCAGCGTGTGAGTTTGGGGGGTGCCGGGGCGGCTCTGCCTGGGAAGGGGTGGGCTGGCCCCATTCAGGTTTTTAGGGAGTTTGGGGGGTGTCGGGGGAGGGGGGGGGACTGCCCCCATTCAAGTTTGGAGGTAGTTTGGGAGGTGCCGGGGTGGCTCTGCCGTGGAAGGGGGGGCTGCCCCCATTCAGGTTTGGAGGGGGGGGCCGCCATTCAGGTCTGGAGGGGGGGGGGGCGGGCATTCAGGTTTGGAGGGGGGGGGGGGGCGCTGGGGGGTGCCGGGTTGGCTCTGCCGGGGAAGGGGGTGGGGCTGCCCCCATTCAGGTTTGGAGAAGTTTGGGGTGCCGGGGTGGCTCTGCCGGGAAGGGGGGGGGGGGCTGCCCACATTCAGGTTTGGAGGGGGCGGGGGGTTAGGTTTGGAGGGGGGGGGTCATTCAAGTTTGGGGGGGGGGCGCCACTCAGCTTTGGAAACTTTGGAGGGAGGAAGGGGAGGGCCATTCAGGTTTGGAGGGGGGTAGGAGGCTGCCGCCGTTCAGGTTTGGGGGGGGGCCCGCCACTCAGTTTTGGAGGGGGGGGGCCGCCATTCAGGCTTGAAGGACGGAGGGGGTTGGAGAGAGGAGGGGGGCGGCTGCCGCCATTCAGGTTTGGGGGGAGTGGGGGGAGGGTGCCGCCACTCAACTCAGGTTTGGAGGTGGAGGGGGGGGCCGCAATTCAGGTTTTGAAGGGGCGAGCTAATCGAGTGGGGGGGTGGGGCTGCCTCCCATTCAGATTTGGGAGGGGGGAGGCGGGCTGCCGCCATTCAGGTTTGGGGGGGGAGGGTGAGGGCTGCCGCCATTAAGTTATTGAGGGGGGGGAGTTTGGGGAATCATCCTCCTCCGCCTCCTCGTCCTCCTCCTCCTCCGCTCCTCCTCCTCCTCCTTCTCCTGCTCCTCCTCCTCCTCCTTTTCCTCCTCCTCCTCCTCCTCCTCCTCCTCCTCCTCCTCCTCCTCCCCTCCTCCTCTCCCTCCTGCTGCTCCTACTCCTTCTCCTGATCATGCTTCCCCCTCCTCCTCCTCCTCCTCCTCCTCCCTCCTCCTCCTCCTCTCCTCCTCCTCCTCCTCCTCCTCCTCCTCCTCCTCCTCCTCCTCCCTCCTCCTCCTCCCCTCGTCCCCCGTCCTCTTCCTCCTCCTCCTCGTCCTCCTCCTCCTCCACCTCTTGCTCCTCCTCTTCCTCCTCCTCTCTCTCCTCCTGCTGCTCCTACTCCTGCTCCTGACCCCGTTTCCCCCCCTTCTCCTCCTCCTCCTCCTCCTCCTCCTCCTCCTCCTCTTCCTCCTCCTCCTCCTCCTCTCCTCCCATGCTCCTCATCCTCCTCCTCCTCCTCCTCCTCCTCCTCCTCCTCCTCCTCCTCCTCCTCCTCCTCCCCCTCCAGGTTTGGGGTGGGGTTGCCCCCATTCAGGTTTTTGGGGGGCCATTCAGGTTGTGGGGTGGAGGTTGGTGGGTGCTGGGGTGGCTCTGCTGGGGAAGGGAGGAGGGGGCTGCCGAAGAGGGGAGGAGAAGAGGGGGGAGAAGCCAAGCTGCTCCCCCTCCTCCTCCCTCCCTCCTCCTCCTCCTCCTCCTCCTCCTCCTCCTCCTCCTCCTCCTCCTCCCCTTGCTCGTCCTCCTCGTCCCCCGCCTCCCTCCTCCTCCTCCTCCTCCTCCTCCCCTCCTCCTCCTCCTCCTCCTCCTCCTCCTCCTCCCCCTCCCTCCTCCCCCTCCCCCTCCCCCTCCTCCTCCTCCTCCTCCTCCTCCATCCCTCCCTCCCTCCCTCCCTCCCTCCCTCCCTCCCTCCCTCCCCTCCCTCCCTCCTCCTCCTTCTCCTCCCCCTACTACTCCTCCTCTTGCTCCTCCTCCTCCTCCTCCTCTCATTCCTCCTCCGAATGCAGAATCCAAGACGTGTGGGACAAACGACCATAGACAAGACACCATGCAGATGATAAGAAAGACAACAATAAGAATGACACAAAGAAGAGGGGGGAAAGACGAACCGACGAGTCAAGAGGCACAACATGAGAACGAATGCCACAATGAGAACAGGAGACACGCGAGCAGGAGGAGAACAGAGAAAATACGAAAAGCGCAAGAAACAGACACGCCAACGGATCGGCGGCACTGGCCGGAGGCCATTCTAATATCAGCATAACTGAAACTGCAACCAAATTATATGAGAAAGCGATCCGCCCGCGTGCGCGACGCAGCGACGATCCAAGCGAGTGTTTGACAGAGGAACTGCGCCGAATCTGTTTACAGGCATATGACGATGTATACTACATATATATATATATATATATATATATATACACATACATAAATGAAAGACAGAAATTCCACGCGAATATTCATGTGGCGTATCAACTGTAAACTATACTTCTAGTCATGCACGTCGATAACGAGCGTCGGCTATATACGACGAAAGCGGAAACGATTTGCCCGCAACGCGATGACGATGGCGATGATGGAGATGGCGATCACAAGTCTACCTCCCGCTTAAGCGCCCCCAACCACCCTTAACGAAGGCGAGGAGGAGAGCGCTATGTTTTCAATGACGATGACGGTGATTACGACAATACTGATCATGATGACGACGATAATGATCATGATGGTGATGACGATGATGAGGATGACGATGATGATGACATGGATGACGATGACGATGATAATGATGATGCTGATGGTGATGGTGATGATCATGATGATGATGATGATGGTGATGATGATGATGATGATGATGTTGACGATGTTGATCTTGTTCAACATCATCATCATCAGCATCAGCATCACCATCAACATTATCATCATCGTAATCACCATCATCACCATCATCAACACCACCATCATATTCACCATCACCATCACAAACACATCACCATCAGCATCACCATCACGATCACCACCATCACGCTCATCACCATCAGCATCCCCACCACAACCACTATCATCATCATCATCACCATGATCACCATCACCATCACCATCATCATCATCATCATCATCATCATCATCGTCACCATCACCGTGATCACCATGATCACCACGATCACCATCATCATCATCATCATCATCATCATCACCATCATCATCATCATCACCATCACCATCACCATCATCACCATCACCATCACCATCACCATCACCATCACCATCACCATCACCATCATCATCATCATCACCATCATCATCATCATCATCATCATCATCATCATCATCATCACCGGCATCGCCCCCTCCTCGCATCCAGAAGGCCACATGCAGTGGCACGCGGTACCCATCGCCTATTGTCGGCACACCGCCCATTCAAGCACGGAGGGAGGGGGGCGTCTGCAGCCCAAATGCGCCATGGAATCCTCCACAGATGCTGCGGCAACCCGCGCCGTGTTTCCATCACAATGTGCTGCCGTGCGTTCTCGTGGGGGGGCTCCGAAAAATCCCCCCCAGAGTATACTCTTGACTACTTTTGACTTCTCTCCTGTAGAGGGACACGCCCGACTCAGGGCTACCCTGACGCCCCCTCTCGCAGCCACCCGCGACTGTGCGGGTCCCTGGTCCACGCTTGGTGCCTCGGCTGCCTGGGCTCCGTGCCCCGGCCCCGGTCTCGGCGCCTCGCGAACGCGTGGCCCTTCGGCGCCGTCCGCCGCCCGCCAGCCAGTTCCCGCGCAGCACTGGGGGAACGAACGCTGACGTAAACATACAAACTCGGAGGTCCGCGCGGATTTCTCGGATCCGCGCTGGACCCTCCTGGCGGAGCCTCCGGCGCCGCCCCTGGCGCGTTCCGCGCGCCGGGGAGGGGGATCCAGCGCCAATCCGGGGAATCCGCGCGGATCTCTGACTTTGTATGTTTATGGCATTCTTCGTTCCCCTAAACACGTCCCACAGGCGCTCTACCTGGGCAGATTGGCCGACCGTGACGCCCCTGGATCTCCTATATTCTGCCTTTCCGCGCCCCCTGCTGCGTACCTGGACCTGGTGCATGTTGTTGTTTGCACGCTTCATGTCCTGTTCTCACGGTCGCTTGGGCTTTTCGCTCCCCTGGTTTCTTCGCGCGTGGATGTCTTGTTTTCGCCCCCGGTTGTGAAATGGCGATTCGGTGCCTGGGTACCGCTCTTCTTCCCTCCCCCATCACCTCCCCCTCTGACCCCCCCCCCCTCCTTCGCCCCCGCGGGCCGCAACGTCGTGCCCAGTGTTCGGCACGCTCCCGCGATAGCCCTCTGCAGCCCCGGCTGACGCAGCCCTGAAGCTGCGCGGCCCTGCCTGGCCAGGTTGCTGCATGTGGACTTGGACGCGATCGTGGACGATCGCTCGACCACCTGGCGGCGTGTCCAGTGCCGCGTCCACATTGCCCCTGTGCTCCGACATCGGGTCCGCCGTGCCGCCCACATCTCTTGAGCCTGAACCTGGCCGTTGGCGACGTTGTGATCCCGGTGCCCTGGGCTGCCCTGGGCCGTGCGTTTCGCAGTCGCGTTTCGACATGCGACGTGTGGTGATCGCTCCCCTGGTTTTGGATTTGACCGACACTGTCCCTTGCATGACTTGCCATCGCAAGCCATGGTGTCTTGTCTCTTGGACCGGTGTGCTGCTCACTTCCATGGGCTATTTTGGCATCCTGCTGTGCAAGCGTGTGCCCTGGCACACACGCACATGCGCAAAACAAATCATGCTCTGAGCGTGTTACGCCGCCTGCGGCGTCCCCTTTTTCCGTCCGCGCCCTTCGCGTTGTGCCCAAGTCGGCCCCGTACTGGCTTTCGGCTGTCTCCGACCGTGGCGTGGGTCCACGCCGCCGGTGTGCTCACAACCCCGCCTGCGGCCTGGAGGCGTCGCGGTTCATGGGCCATCCTGGAGCTCATCTGCATCAGCGACTCGAACGGGTGCGCCAAAGAGGGTCGATCGGGTTTTTGTTTAGCACGGGCCGTGAACGGCAACGCGTCCAGCATCGAAGCGACAGCCTGGTCGAGGGCCAACCCATTGACCTGGGCGGTCCGGATGCAACTTGCGATTGATGACTCGCTGGCGTGGCGGTCGCGGGGCGGAAGAAACCCAGCGGGGGAACGGCCGTGGCCTGGAAAACGGGCGCTGGGTGATTCAACCAAAAAAAAAAGTCCTGAAAGAAACCGGCGCTCGTTCCCGCGATTTTCCTCCCGAAACACTTTTCCGCCGGGGCGGCGCCACCCACTCTGACGCTGCGCGCGTGCGCCGTTTGGCGGGCGGCGCATGCGCGGGCGGCCCCGGCGAGCTCGGCGGCGCCGATTCAGTCGCGTTGGTGGCCGATGGTGCTGCCACGCGCGGTTCGGCATAACGGCGCTGTTTGCTGAATGCGCGAATTCGCCGACTCCCTGCTCAACGTGTTGGGCGGCGGTGGGTGCGCAAGCGGAAGGTATTAAGGACGTGCGCCACATCAGCGGGATACATATTGGGCACTGGGGGGGGGGAGCGCGTGGAAAACAATTCATACACATCAACAGCATGTCAAACACGATGTCCATCTCGCACCAATTCAACACCAGGTTAACCACAACATCTGACATCGCACCATGTCAACACCAAGGGCGAGCATATGTACGGGCGCAGCACCGCGCACTCCAACGAGTCAGTCAGTCAGTTGTCAACCGACCTGGCGGATAACAAACAACGGGCTGCGCCCGTAAAAGAAGAACTGATAAGAGCGGATGTGTTGCCAACTTTGTTTCGGAGACAATAAGAACAAAGACACATGCGACGCACGAAGCTCAGACGGATGGGCGGGCTGCAACAATTCAAGGCACAGGAGTAAACGCCATGCAAGCAACAGTGGCACGAGATCGAGGAAACAGTCGCAATAGCGCCAGAGGGGATAACAAACAGGTGCAAATACGATGGCAGGGCAATGCACGGATAGTCGATGTGAGTAGAGGGGCATGAGAAGGAAGTTGGAAGATAACATACTTTCACATACTGAGGGGACATAAGGAGAACCTTGACAATGCAGAGCTGAAACACTCATCGCTGGGGGCTATTATACGTGCGAGAAGGGACAGGGAACATCATGATAGGAACAATCTCTCGGATGCGAAATTAATGAGACGCGTCTCCGAGATGCACTGCCGTCCGCGATAGCCGAGCTCATCCAAGATAAGAAGCGGGCTCCATCGTATGGCATTCCACCCTGACAGGCAGCTGAATAATACCGTTCACATGCGCGTGGCGTCACATACGTCAACACGAATGTCTGCAACCATGTTCCAAACTCCAAGCTGTTACGCCTCAATGGGTTGTTTGCTTGTGATGCATTGCCCGTGAACAAGCACGCATGGCCACAGTACTGCAGTCTGCTAATCTCAGGATATCCATCACCATGCCGTGAGGTGCGAAATGGAGTGTCCTCGAGTCCCTCCGATCGAGCTCCCTGTGTTGAACACAGCTTGTAAAAACTCTTTCAAAACTCGGGGATCTCTTGACCGGGATCACTCCGGACCCGAGTCACTCAGGCTTTGCAAGATCCTGCAAAATCCTGCAGGATCCTGCTCACAAGACCGGGTCAGTGCGCCCCTGGCTCTGCATGATCCTGCATGATCCGGCGCTCTGACTGACCCCCGATTGTATTGAGCCCCGTCTCTTGAGCCCCGAGAAGCTACGGATCTCCAAGTTCTGGGAGTTTCTGGGCTTGCGCGCGGTCTTTCCCCAGCCCTCGGGAGCGCGATTCGGAATCCAAATCTTCAGCATGACCCACAGTGGCCCCATGAGGCCGTCCTTGGTCTCTCTTGGGACCCTCTTGGAGGCCCCAGGGGCCGGCCCACCAGGCCAGAGTGTTCAATGATTTTAGCATCGCATTGGCGGCCCTGGGTCCAAGACTGCCAGGCCGGTCCCTAGTGCTGGCCCCAGAAGGCCCAAGCGTCCCCAAAGCAAGCCAGTGGGTTCCTCAAAAAGGTCTCGTGAGGGGCCCAAGAGGCGCGCCATCGACGCGGCGATGGAAAAGAAGCAGCCCCTCCAAGAAATCCCTAAGGCCCTGAAGAGGCCCTCAAGAGGCCCGCAAGCGGCCTCTGATATGCCCCCAAGCGGCTCAAAAGAGGCCTTCCAAGAGGCTCGAAGAAGCCACTAAGATGCATCTTGTCCACGGCCTAGCGGGATGGACCGAATGAAGCTACATGTGTTGAACAAAAATCCGCCAACAGGCCTCGATGCACGTAGTTGAGCGCCCCAAGGCTCATGCAATTCTGAGCGGTAAAAGGTTTGTACGGCAAGTTCGTGTCGAGCCGACCCCGGTGTTGGTTCCTGGCACCGCAGGGATCGTTTCAGCTGGAACGATCGGCCGTTTCCGAAACGTCAGATCGTTCAACATCGAACGATTCCGAGTCGCCGGCAGCGTTCAACGTTGAACGCCGGCGGCGGGGTCGCCGCCAGTCGACACGACTCGAACCCACCGTGAGGTTCTCAGGGGCCCGGACCCCCCCAGTCTCCCAGACGCTCCTGGACGTTCTTGGCGCTTCTGGGTTCCGCGCGGGCCTCCAGGACGGCAGCCCCGCCCAGGAGGGACCCCCCCAAACGGGCCCAGATGTCCCAAGAGCTCCCAAAAAGGTGCAATGGGATCCCAAGTAGCCCCAAGATCGCTTCCAGACGCCGAATTTATCCTAAAGACGGCCAAGGAGGCGCCCGAGACGCTCCAAGGGAGCCCCAAGAGCACCTCTAAAAGGGCCCTGAGAAGTCATTGACTTCCCGCAGGCTTTCGGCAGATTTTAGCCTTCTCGCCCTTTTCAGCTGCCGACGCTCCAAGACGGCCCAAAAAGCTGACAATCGCGGGCAGTCCTGAAGGCCCCTAAGAGGGCCCGAAGACGCCCCAAGAGGGCCCCAAGACGGCCCAAGAGGCCCCCAAGACGGCCCGAAAGGTACCAGGATGGCCCCCAGACGGGCACATGAGGGGAACACGCATGGACATTTCGAGCCTTCCGCCCTAAGATTACACGAAGAGCCCCCGAGAGACTCCCGAGCCCCCCTCCCAGACGCCCCAAGAGGCCCCAAGAGGCCCCCCAGAAACACCCAAGAGCATTCCAAGAGTCCCCCGAGAGGCATCCCAAAAGACCCTTCTATGCATCCAAAAGGCCTGTGAACCACAGCCCAAGCACGGTGGCGGGATGGGCCGAAGGCCGCTAGACCTGGCCCGGCACAGAAACGGAAAGAGCGCTTCAGAAACAGAAACCGAAATTACTCACACCACCGTTCGTACTGGGAGCCTTGGCGTTGAGAGCTTGTTACGTCACCCCTCGCTCTTGGGAGCCTTGGTGTTCAGAGATTGTTGCGTTGCCGCCCGTTCCTGAGCCTTGACTGGGCCTTCGTGTCAGGAATTTGTTACGTCACCGCTCTCTGCTGGGAGCCTTGGTCTTATCAGCTTGTTTACGTCACCGTTCGCTCTTGGGAGCCTTGGTGTGAAGAGCTTTTTGCGTTACCGATCGCTCTCTATTTGGCGTCTCTGGGCCTTCTTGGGAGTCCTATTGGGGCCCTTGTCGGGCCCTTTTGGAGGCCTCTTGGGAACCTCTTGGGGGCCTCTTGGGGCTTCTTGGGAGGCTCTGGGGGCCTCCTGGGAGCTTCTTGGGGCGAAAGGTTAGACTTTTCGGTTCGTGGTCCCCCTCTTGGGGCCGCCTTGGGGCCCTCTTGGGAGCCTCTTGGGCCGTCTTGGGGCGGTCTTGGGGGCCTTTTGGGCCTCTTGGGGGCCTCTTGGGGCTCCTGTCCGCCTCGAGGTCAAGGCCTGGCCTCAAAGCACGGATGAGCCGCGCACGCACACTACTTCGCACGGAAATGGTGCGTCGCGGTCGCGCAACGCTCATGCAGCAAGATCGAATGATTGAACAGTGCTGCAACTGCAGCAGGCAATGGTTTCTGAACGATTCAGCAGCGTTCACACTCGAGGAAGGGGCAGGGTGAAGGGAGAGGGAGAAAGGTGATGATTTTGATCCTGTCCGCCTCGAGGCCAAAGTCCAGCCTCAGAGCACGGATGGACCGGCCGCGCACGCACACTACTTCGCACGGAGATGGTGCGTCGCGGTCGCGCAACGCTCATGCAGCAAGATCGAGTGATTGAACAGTGCTGCAACTGCAGCAGGCAACGGTTTCGGAAAGATACAGCAGCGTTCACACTCGAGGAGGGGGCAGGTGTTTCCCTTCTTGGGCCTCTCTAGTCGTCGCTTCCGTCCTTCCCCCTCCTTCCCCTCGGGATCGCCTGCACACTCTATTTCAGACCTATCGGCGCCCCAACAGCAGGAGGCGCGCTGCCAAGAGGTGACCACGGTTGCGGAACCGCTGCGAAGGGTTCCAGACTCAACCGCGCCAGCCCTCGAGAAACACCGACGGCCCTCACCGTGGAGGCCGCCTCTGGCGAACCGCCAGCCGCGTGGAAAACAATGCCGCGCGTCGCGCCCCCACGGCGGGCGGCCGAGGCCGCCGGGCGCCCGGAAGAGCGTCTTCGACGAGGCGGGGCGGAAGGCACCCCGGGGAAGGTCGCGTGGGCCGGAGCTGGAGGTGTTTTCGTGGTTGCTTTTTTTGAGGGGGGGCTCATGCGTGATTCCTGGTGCTCTTCTTAGAGGGCTGTTGGGGGGCTCCTCAGCAAGCGGGCCCCACAAGAACGGAGGCCGCCCACGCTGGAGTGCCAGCGGGAATAGAACTGGTCTCCGTGACAACAGGCGCGCGAGTGTTCTGCATCGCTCATCATGGACGAAAAGGGCGCAACGAGGAGGCGAAGCCAGGGGAAAATAGGCGCTGGCGCGGTGGACGTGTACCACTCGGCGCACAACACAACACCATTCAAGACGCTTCGTCCCCACCTTGCACCACCTCTAGGCAAGGACTGCACCTCCTCTCCATGGAGCTAGAACCCCGATAGGGTCTTACAAAGACAGCGGGTCACATGGACAGCAGCAGCACCAGCAGGGAGAGGGAAGCAGGCGACAGGGGGGAACGAGGAAGAGACAAGAGCAGCAGGGAGAGAGGCAGGAAAGCGAGCGAGAGAGGAGGCAGCAGAGCAGAAAGGGAGGAGAGCACGGCAAGCGGCGCGCAGCAGCAGGGGGGCCGGAGACCAGGGACCGGCATGAAATTGTATAAAGAGGCGCGGTTCACCTGCCCCGCAGGAGAGCACAACGGCATCCTGAGGCGGCCCCAGCCAAGAAGGTGTGAGCAGATCCCACAAATCCGTACGGAGCTCGGGAAGACAATACTTCATGCAACTTGCAAGCTCTGCTTTCAGTGCACTACAAAGGAGCATATGACGGCTGCCTGTGACACACTATGGAAAAATCCAAACAGGCCCGTTGGCGAACACGTGCAAGCCCGCAGGCGTTCGATGCGGCCTGGAAATTGAATAGAAGAAGGAAAAACGCCATACACATAAACTGGTTGTGTTTACTTCAAGCCAACGTGCGACCGTGCCAACACGCGCTGCTCGAGAGCCACCTCCGCCCGCGGAGGCCGCAGGCCCCCCCGTCCCCTGACGCGGCAAATCCCCGCGTAGAGTCAGCCGGTGCGGTAAGGATGCGCGGTGCAAGCCCCCCCGTTCCCTGACGCGGCATGCCTCCAAGCTGTTTCCAAACCCCTTACGGTTGAACAAGCGCGCTGGGGCGAAAGCGTCCTTCTGACAGCGGGATCGCCCCGGATCGGCGGCTCCGGTCGGAGGCCTCCACAATTTCAGGAATACCAGAAGCATATTGAAATCTTGGCGCCTCCGACGCCGCCAGGGCGCTCCGGCGCAGATCCAAGAACCGCGCGGAGCGCAGAGTGCGTGCCCCAACGCGGAGAGCCCGCGCGAGGGGCGCCGCCGCCGCGAGCTCGGCGGCGGAGCTCCGGCCGGCCTCTCAGGCCCGCCCGGGCCCGAGCGGGGCCGGAGGCGGGCAGCTCACGAGGAGATCTCGGCGGGGGTGCCCTGCTGCGCGACGGTCGAGCTGCTGCCCCCGACGTCCGACGGGGCCGCCTTCCTGGACTTCCGCTGCAGGCGGCGCCGCTGCGTCCTGGAGATCATTGGTCAGCGCCGCCCCCCCCTCGCCCTCCGAGCTGCTGGCCCCCCCGCCGCTCGGATCTCGCGGGCTCGCCTCAGGAGAGGCCTTGGTCAGCTTCAAGTCGCGCAGCCTCTTTGCAGGACTGCACCCGAAGCCTCCGAGGCCCCCGCTGCTTTGGGAGAGCTCGGCGGGCACCAAGGAAGACGATGTGTCGTTTGTGGGGTCCGACCTCGCGCGCTCGCCTACTGTGACGTAGTCGATCCATGGCGACTGGCAGTCCAGGAAAGTGTTTTTGGTCTCCAGGCCAGGCGGCAGCTGGCGCGCCACAGCTGGCACGGTCCCCCGTGGCAGCGCAATGCCCGCGAACCCCACGAGTGCTTCGGGAGACCTGGTGCGCTTTACGATCCCCGCGGACCCGGAGCGCGTGCACAGAGAAGCGGCGCGGCTGGAGCCACAATGGCTTGAGCCAAAATGGCTACGGAGGGGGCCTCTTGGGGCGCCTCTTGGGCGCCTTTCGGGGCGTCTCGGAAGCCTCTTGGGCAGATCTTTGGGGCCTCTTGGGTCGTCTGGGGCCCTTCTGGGACGGAAAAGGGGAGAACCCAAAAAACATACGAAAACCCGAGGGAAAACCCGAAAACGGCCATTAGACCGCAGTTGGGCAACCCTCGCCCCCCTCTGCACTCCCCCTAAAGGGCTTCGCCCACACCAGAACGTCATCACTCGTACCTCGCTCTTTCCGTTACCTGCCTAGCACGGGGACGGATAACGCATTCACTTGCAAAGCGCAAGAGATTGTTGGCTTATCTGTTATTTTTCCTCCTCTATCCCATCTTCCCCTCGCCCTTATCTCATTATATTATGTTTTCCCTTATCCCTGCTCTTGAATGGAGTGTCGCGTTGTGACCCTTTTTGTCGTGTTCTGGGCTTCCGGGTGAGCTTTTTGTGTCATCCTTTGGGCCGTCGATTGGAGCTCTTGGTCCATCTGGGGGCCCTCTTGGGCCGTCTTTAGGCCCTCATGGGGGGAACGGTTCCTGAGGGGAACGGGTCCTGGACCTCCGTGGCCTTCCCCCAGGACCAGTTCCTCATCCTGAGTCGTTTTCTGACAGCCCCGGGGCCCGTGGAGGACCCCGAGGTCCAAAACGGTGGAAAACCTCAGGACCCGTTTCCATCAGGACCCGCTTCCCTCATGTAGAGGCCTCCTACATGGGGTCGGAGTAGATGGGGTCGGAGGATCGCGCCGCATCGCCGATACATCGGCGATGCATCGTCGATGCATCGGCGATGTCGACGTGAAGCAAATCGGGCTCCGCATCGAGCCGCATCGCCGATGCATCGGCGATGCGGCGCGATCCTCCGACCCCATCTGCTCCGATCCCATCAGGGAGGCCTAGACTCATGGCGACGCGAGCAAGGTCGGGGATCTTCTGACCAAGATCCTGCATGATCTCCTGCACCCAAACCCGGGTCAGCGCAGCCCTGGTCCTGCAGGAACCTGCAGAATCTGGCGCTCTGGCTGACCCCCCGCCTGCACCCTGATCTTCCAGGAGGGCTAAAAAATAGCACCCGACTTAAAAACCTATCCAAAAGCCCTTCTACGTCTTGGTTTTAGGCTGCTTCGCTCAGTTTTTTAGGTTTTTAGGCCTCCAGTGCTAAAAAATAGCTCTCTGGAAGGTCAGGGCAGGGACCCCCGCCTCTCGAGCCCCCACAGGGGGCCCGCGAGCGCAGGCCGGCATGCCACGGGAGGGCGGCGCACGGTAGTGCCGCAGGCGCGGCCCGGCGGCCGTGCACCGCAGAGAGGCGCGCCGGCCCGCGCGCGAGGCCGCGCGCCTGCGCCCGAGCGGTGCCGAGGGGGGGCACGCTGGGCCTGGCGAGCCCCGTGCGTCCCCGCCCTGGATCGGGCGGGTGGTAGGCAAGCAAGCAAGCAAGAAGGCCATGCATCCTGAAGGACGCGTGGGCTGGCAAGGACACTCATGGTTCCTGCCGTGATTCGCCGCGACAGACAATCGGCGCCAGCGCGGATTAGCGGGTGGTAGGAGGAGGAGAAAAGACGCCAGACGCATCAGCTGCTGGCGCTCCGCGCGGGTTTCTGAGATCTGCGCTGGACCCCCCTCCCTGGCACGCGGAGCGCGCCAGGGGAGGCGCCGGATACGTCGCCGGGGGGACCCAGCGAGGATCCAAGAAACCCGCGCGGAGCGCCAAAACCTTCTATTTATGGCGTCTTGTCTTTCTTCGATAGGGGTGACCTACATGTAAGACGAAGCAAGGACGAGGATCAATTCGGGTAGGGATAAATCGAGAATCCCTGAGATCCGGCGGCTCTGGAGGATGTCTCGGGCGCCGCGGCCTTCTCAGAGCGTCCCGGAACGCTCTGGAACGGATTTATCTTGTCCTAGCCCCGTCCGAGCCATTCTCTTCACCCCCCGTTGGTTCACCCTCCATCACCAGCCGTCCGATCCAGGGCGGGCAGGCCTGGACCGGGATGGACCTCTTCCGAGAGCCGATCGTCCACGCCTGCTGGGGGCGCGCATCCTGGGGCCAAAGCTCGCACCAGCCGATCAGTTGCCGTGTCTGCAGCAAGGGGCGCGGCCCCGAAGAGGGACTGAAGTACAGGCAGGAGACCCGGTGGGCGAAGACGGCGGTGGCAGAAGCTCGGGCGCCTGGCGAGAGCAGCGTCGCCCTGAAGCCAGCCGCGCCTTGGCAGACTCGCGCCCAGGCCAGAGCCACGACTGGTGCCACAGGTACTCGCATTAGGTCGGGCATGTCCCCCTACAGGCGGATTTCGGGCGAAAACAAAACATAGGCAACAAACAATCGAACATGACCCCAACATGTTAGAAACATCGTCCCCAGACCATTCCTCGAACTATTCTTGTATGCTCCTCCTGTCGAGGACATGCCCGACTTGATACTCGCAGGCCCCACCGAGCCCGCAGCTTGCGCGGGGGCCCCAGCTGGGACGCACATGGACATACTAGTACTATATGTCCTCCTTGGAGGCGCGCGTCCGACCCGAACATATAGTATACCCATCTTGTAGTATATCGTTTCCCGAGCGGTGTGGCCAGAAAGCGCCCGCCACGACGCATATACTGTAAGATTTCTCGGTGCGCGCGTCGCCCCTGGGGGGGGGCGACGCACATCTAGTACAAGTATGCTGGGGTGTTGCCGACCAGCCGCTGCTGCCCGAGCCGCTCGGCACTGCGAACGGCGGCCGGCCGCGAGCGGCCCCGCGCGTCCGGCACCCGGGGCGGGCACATCGTGTCGCCGGAGCCGCCGCCGCGACACGCTGTGCACAAGCTCCCGACCGTAAACACGTAGGCCGGGCGCGGAGGCACCCTGAAGGCTGAGGGAGAGGAGGAGGAGGAGGAGGAGGAGGAGGAGGAGGAGGAGGAGGAGGAGGAGGAGGAGGAGGAGGAGGGAGGAGGAGGGAGGAGGAGGAGAGAAGGAGGAGGAGAGAGCGGAGAGCGGCGGGCGGGAGGGCCGGGGCGGCGGAGCCCGGCCAGCCCGCCAGGGAGCCCAAGCAGGCGGCGCACCACTGCAGGGCGGCGGCGTCTGCCCCCCAGCTCCCTGCTGGACATGCCGGGCGGCCCCCGCGATCACGGAGCGAAGGCGGGCAGGGCCAGGGGGAGGAGGGAGTAGGAGGAGGAGAGGGGAGGAGAGGATGAGAAGAGAGAGAGGCGGGGAGGAGGAGGAGGAGGAGGAGGAGGAGGAGGAGGAGGAGGAGGAGGAGGAGGAGGGAGGAGGAGGAGGAGGAGGAGGAAGAGGAGGAGGAAGGGCCACTCGTGGCCTCCACCTGGTGCCCCTCTTCGTGAGCTGCTCTGCGCTGCTGGCCATTCGCCCATGGCCTCTGACTGCTGCTGTGCCCAGGCGGCAACTCAGGAAAGGCCAAGTCCAGACGGAATAAGCCCGGACGGAGACCGAGTACTCCGCATGGGCTTGCGCAGCTTCCTCACAGGAGAGGCTAATTCTGGACGGCGTAAGTCCAGACGGAGGCCGAGCACTCCGCATGGACTTACTCCGTATGGACTTCGCCTCTCCTGAGGCAAATTGAAGCGCCGCTCCCAGGCGGGCTGCATGGAATTGCGCCCGCGGCCAAATTAGCGCCGCAGCGGCCCGGCGCAAGCGCAGAGCGGCCTGCCCGACGAAGAGGGGACTGCGGCGGCCGTCGACTCGCGGGAGATCTGGCCCGTGCGTGCCAGAGGCCCCACGCTGGAGGCGCCCCAACCGGGGAGGCGTGCCCACATGCAAATGTGGCGCTATTTGGGCTCGTCTGCTGTGTGGACGCGTAGAGAGAGACCAAGCAAGGAGCGGCGGGAGGCACGAGTTGGAGTGCTGCTGATGTGAGCACCCACGAGAACTGCACCGATCACGAAAAGAAAATACACCGACTCGATCACTTAATGAAAATGCTGTGGGCATCTCATCATCATGGGGCCTGTCTCGAGCGTATCGTACAACCCCCCACTTACATACATTAGCTCGAGGCTGCGGTGGCTGAGGCGGGTTTACCATGAGCGCCCACATACGCGTGTTTCAAGAGAGTCTGCCACTATCTGCGAAGAGACTGCTGGACACGTCTCCCCTTCCCTGATCAAAATACTATGTACCCAAAGTGCAATGAGTACTGCGTTCAGTTCGAGCGCCGATCGGGGAGAAGGACCAAAAAACACGCGACCCGTTCTATTGTTTCTTTTTTCATCCAGACATCGGACCGATTTGGGCTCCAGAGCTCTCAACACTATCCCTTTCTTTCGCGGCGGGCAGCTCTTATTCGGGCCTCGTGGCCCAAAATGTCCCCAAACACCGACATTGGGAGAAACACGTAATGACCATGTGTTCGACACTGGAGGTATGGATCGGTCTGCTTCCGCCCAGCAAATCCTCTGACCCCTCGCCGACCCTACCCTGACTACTCGATCGAGCTGCGCCCGGCCCTCCCACGAAGTGCCAGGGAGGGGGCTCCAGCGCGGATCCGAGAAATCCACGCGGACCTCCGAGTTTTTATGTTCATGTCATTGTTCGTCCCCCGGCAAGTAAGCCTCCCCACTCCCCATCCCGTCGTTCCTCTTCCTCGCGACTACAGCGAGCACAGAATTCCAACGGCGGTGCCGAGCAATCACAGCCAGGGCAAGCGAGCCCGGCCTCGAGCGGCAGCAGGGCGAAGCCCCTCTCGAATAGGGGTATGTAGAGGCATCCACGCTCCTGTCAGGCGGCCGCCCCTGCCAACCTTCTCTCTCCTCCTCCTCCTCCTCCTCCTCCTCCTCCTCCTCCTCCTCCTCCTCCTCCTCCTCCTCAACATCATCCTCGTCCTCATCGTCATTGTCCTCTTGAGAAGGGATGGGCGGAAATTGCTGCCTCGCAGTTCTGGACAATGAAGGGGAGGAGGAGGCGAGAAATCGTCATTCTCCTCACGAGAACGGAGGGACTGTAATTGTTCAATCGCAGTTTTTGACAAGGAAGATGAGGAGGAGGTGAGAGGGAGGCAGCGCCAACACCCGATCGCTAGCTACGCACCACCAGGCGCTGAAGGCAAGCCCGCCGCAGGACCGTCCTTGCCCCGACTGCCGTCGTAAAAAACAAATGACACTGACATCAAGCCAATAAACAAGAAACTGGAGCCGACAGGCAAATCTGCCGCAAGACCGTCATCGCGTTGTCCAAAGGCAACGGCACAGCGGGAAAAAAGAGGAGGCGAGGAGGGAAAGAAGGAGGGGAAAATGCTCGTGCGTGTGTGAAGGGGCCCTGGGGCACACACATCAATACACACAACTAAAAGGATTCCCCATATGTTTCCCATATTGTCTGGGTTTCTGTCTTCCCCCCCACTGCCCATGTTGTCCCATATTTTCCTGGGAGTCGACGATTAATTTGTGTGTTTTTTTCCCCCTCCTCAGTGTGTGTGTGTGTGTGTGTGTGTGTGTGGAGGCCAGTCTGGCAGAGGGCTGCGAACGCACCCGGGTCCAACCCGAGTAAAGCCAAGATGCGAGGGAGAGCGAGGACCATGAGGACGAGCCCATCAAAAGGGCACAGAGCTAAGTAGGATGGACAAGTGTTGGTACGGTCGGACCTAAGACATAATAACATCTTTCAAGAACATGAGACCCTCCGCCGGCAAAAGCGCCCCAGACCTTAAAATCACTCGAGGGTATCTTCCCCAAGGATGCATCAGAACATCCAAAAAACACGTTGGACATTAAGGTAGGCTTCCCGAATCAACCTCGATCTTACATCTCGGTCCGACAGTATCGTGAGTTGGCACGGGTGACATTATCGCGCCACGCGTGGACCTTCACAAGGCGGCGGGAGGGCACGCCCAACATAGTGGCTGGGGTCGGCCGCCAGCGTTGTGCAGGAGTCCAGCACATGCAAATCATGAGAACCGGACCATCAATTCATTCGACAAACAATCGGCGGGGACAGGTGCGGGCAGAGAGAGGAATCCAATGGAATGGCTGGTGGTCGCTAGGAGGGCGAAACGAAAACAGTATGACTACAGCGAGCAGTCTGAGGCAGCCCAGTCACTGCCTGGGCTGGCGTTTTGTCGTGCCGCCTGGCCCCCTAGCTCGAGAACCCAACCGAGGTCATACTCAAGTAGGCCGTGGCATCTTGGCACAAGCGCTGCTTCTGCTGCAGAGCCGCCTGGGGGGCAATGGAAGGGGTGGCCGTCTTAGGCTCCCTCGCTGCCTGCCCGCGGTCCCCTGGGACCACCAGAGGCTGGTCGTAGTCGTAATTCTTCGTCCCGCGGGATTCTTCATGGAGCGCACAATGCAGCGTCGGCCGCGGTGACTGGCAATCAGTCGAAAAGGCGCAGCTGCTCACGATCCTTCATACTTCGCTCCAGCCCTGGTGCCCCTATTTCCCACTCATCTTGGTGCTGGGCGCCTCACCGAAAAAATACACACTCCACAGAAGAATCAGCATACCATCGACTCATCGGGTCTCTCCCGAATGCGCGAGCGCAACAACGACTGCCCGCCCTATCTTGTAATTACGCTACCGCACAGCAGCGACCCCAATACTGATCCCATGCCAATTCGAGCTCACAAGCGCCCCCTGGACTTGCATCCCGCGGCAGGCATTTGCCGGCAGAAGTTTAGGAGGCAACCACTGGGAGGTCTTCGTCGGAAGGAGGGAGAATCAAACCCCGTTGAGGGGCGGCTGCTACGCTGGACTAAGCCGCTGATTAGGAGGGATTGAGCGGGATTTAGCCGGATGTCGGACCATGGCGCAACATCAGAACTTGACCTCCCAGGAGCTGCATCCGAAAGAGGGGCTTCATCCACATCGCACTCTTCCCCTCGGATCTCTGGCTTGGGCGCCCCTCCCAGGGCCGCTGCGCCTGCGCCACCGGCAGTATCACACCCGCGCAGAACACCGGCGCAGTTCCGGCACCGACACCCTCCACGAACGCCCCGCGTGTGCCCCGAGCCACCAGACGCTCTCGCGGACCAGCACCTCGAGGCCCCGCCAGAGCCTCCTCTCCCGCGCGCCTACACCAGAATAGAGGTGAGCTCCATCCTTGGCCAGCTTGTCCGCCGCCTCGTTCGCTACCCGCTCCCAGTAGGTGGAGCGCCCAGCCTCCACATCGGCGGACGTGGCGTGCCCGAGCCCCCTGCGCACCTCCAGATCTGATGCCTCGAAAAGGCACTGAATATGTCTTCGCAGGTGAGGCCATTGGTCGTGGGCGTTCGCGCCGCTCCCAGACCAGCCTGGAGCGTCGAGACGGTGCCCTGGCAATCGATTCACAGGTCGAGAGCGCCGGGCGCATCAAGGTCGCAAAACACGAACACTGATGAAACTGTGCCGTCCCGGGAGGTCTGCCGCGTGCCTGCTTCGAGAAGGGGACAGGCCCACAGGCAGCAGTTTCCACGCGCCCAAAACGGTCAACTGGGCGATCGCCCATCCAGCTCGGGCAAATTCTGGATTCTCCATGTGGAAGGCGCTCCCATGGAGGAACAGGGTGCCTGGCAGCAGACGCGAAAAGAAAGAGGAGGCGGCGGAAGAGGAGGAGTGAACGGAATAAAGAGGATGGAACAATAGGCAAGAGTCCACAATTTCAAAAATTCGCGATGCAAAGGATGCACGCAACACGGTAGCAGGAGGGGGATGGATGAGGAGGAACGAAGCCGAGGGAAGACAAGGAGGATGGAAGGGGAGGAGGGAGGAGGACAAGGAGGCATGAGGGGATGATTCAGGGATTAGGATTCCATTAGGCGCTCGGCAAGAAACCTTCCACAAGAAACCCAACCCTGAGACCCCAGGACGTCCATTGACTTTTGGTGTGGGAACGTCACGCTTTTTGTAGGGTAACCATCGAACCCCAAGAAACCCAGGGCACCCTGGAGGCAAGCAGGGTGTTTCTTGGCATGGGTTTCCACTATAAGGCGGAGAGAGGGGAGAGGGAGGATAGACGAGGAAGTAGGGTGAGGAGGGCGAAGCCAGGACGCGCATAGAGGATGAAGGCAGAGGGACGCTCATGTCTCGATTGGCCCTCTTCTCAATGTCGCCCCTCGACCGCGCAATGGGTCTGGACCCCGGAGCATGGCGCGGAATGCAGTCAACCCATATAGTAAGGATGCGCGGTAAAGATGCGAGGGCCGTGGACGCCCATGCCGAGGCTTTTCGAACGGGTCTGGCTATCAAAAGTGGTTGAGGATGGACCGAAGATGACCGAAGAGGCAAGGATACACAGGCACCCTTGGGAAATCGATCGTCCTTACTATCAAGCTTAACTTTATCCAGCAGTGGCTGTAGAACTCATGCCTCGACCGTCGAGAGAACGCGTTTCACGGGAGCTTGCCTAGGGAACATTCGGCGGCGCGTTTCAAACCGGGGGGTGGCCCACCCCCCGACACTCGGCTCCGTCGATCAAAACCAGGGGGAGTCCCCTCCCCCCAAACCCCCCCCTCCCGAACCTCCCCCCCCCTCCCCCCCCTCCCAGGGAGGGGGGGGGGTTCAAACCCCCCCCCCCCTCGGCGCCAGCGCCGGCGCTGGCGGCCGCCAGCAACGCCCACGGCGGGGACGCAGCGACGATGACCAGAGGCAGCTCAGGTCCTCCTCCTCCTCCTCCTCCTCCTCCTCGTGCCACCGGGATGGAGCTCACGGCGTGAGGAGCAAGAGGCCGGGAGCGGGACGGAGCTTCCCCCCCGCACCCTCCGCTTCGAGCGCACGGCCTCCGCCCTCCCCGACGCTTCCGAGCCCGGCTGCCGCTGCCCGGCACAGCGCCGGCCTCCCTGCAGGATCGGCGCGCGGCCCCCGTCGTTCCGAGCGGCCGCGGCCGCACGGCTGGATCCGAGGCCTTCCTCGTCGGTGTCGCCCCGTCATCTTCCCGCCTCCGCGTCACCATGGTCCTCCTGCTCCTCGCGCTCCTCCGACTCATGCTGCTGCAGTTCCTCCTCCTCCTCCTCTTCGTTCCTTCACCTCGTCTTCCTCCTCCTCCTCCTCATCCTCCTCTTCGTTCCTTAGCCTCCTCGTCGTCCTCCTGCTGCTCCTGATGTTCTTCCTCTTGTTCATTTACGGGCGCAGCCCGTAATTTGATTCTCGCGAGGTAGACACTGACAGACTGAACTGAACCACCAGGCCGTTAGATGGCAGTTTTATTTCCGCGGGTGAGGATATTTCGGGTGGCAGTTTTAATATTTCGGTGGCAGTTTTAAGCCAGCGGGTGAGAGGATATTTCGGTGGCAGTTTTAAGCGCCAGCGGGTGAGGATATTTCGGTGGCAGTTTTAAGCCAGCGGGTGAGGATATCTCGGGTGAGGATATTTCGGTGGCAGTTTTACGCCAGCGGGTGAGGATATTTCGGGTGGCAGGTTTAAGCCAGCGGGTGAGGATATCTCGCGTGGCAGTTTTAAGCCAGCGGGTGAAGATATTTCGGATGAGGATATTTCGGTTGGCAGTTTTAAGCCAGCGGGTGAGGATATCTCGGGTGGCAGGTTTAAGCCAGCGGGTGAGGATATCTCGGGTGGCAGTTTTAAGCCAGCGGGTGAGGATATCTCGGGTGGCAGTTTTAAGCCAGCGGGTGAGAATATTTGGGTGGCAGTTTTAAGCCAGCGGGTGAGGATATTTCGGGTGGCAGTTTTAAGCCAGCTGGTGAGCATATTTCGGTGGCAGTTTTAAGCCAGCGGGTGAGGATATTTCGGTGGCAGTTTTAAGCGCCAGCGGGTGAGGATGTTTCGGTGGCAGTTTTAAGCCAGCGGGTGAGATATCTCGGGTGAGGATATTTCGGTGGCAGTTTTACGCCAGCGGGTGAGGATATTTCGGGTGGCAGGTTTAAGCCAGCGGGTGAGGATATCTCGCGTGGCAGTTTTAAGCCAGCGGGTGAAGATATTTCGGATGAGGATATTTCGGGTGGCAGTTTTAATCCAGCGGGTGAGGATATTTCGGGTGGCAGGGTTTTGCCAGCGGGGTAGGATATCTCGGGTGGCAGTTTTAAAAAAAAAAAAAATTAAAAAAAAAAAAAAAAAAAAAAAAAAAAAATTAAAAAAAAAAAAAAAAAAAAAAAAAAAAAAAAAAAAAAAAAAAAAAAAAAAAAAACAAAAAAAAGAAAAAAAAAAAAAAAAAAAAAAAAAAAAAAAAAAAAAAAAAAAAAAAAAAAAAAAAAAAAAAAAAAAAAAAAAAAAAAAAAAAAAAAAAAAAAAAAAAACAAAAAAAAAAAAAAAAAAAAAAAAAAAAAAAAAAAAAAAAAAAAAAAAAAAAAAAAAAAAAAAAAAAATCAAAAAAAAAAAAAAAAAAAAAAAAAAAAACAAAAAAAAAAAAAAAAAAAAAAAAAAAAAAAAAAAAAAAAAAAAAAAAAAAAAAAAATTAGCCAAGCGGGTGAGGTAGCGATGCAAGAGTTTTTCAAGCCAGCGGGTGAGGATATTTCGGTGGAAAAGTTTAAGCCAGCGGGTGAGGATATCTCGGGTGATGATATTTTGGTGGCAGTTTTAAGCCAACGGGTGAGGATATTTCGGTTGGCAGTTTTAAGCCAGCGGGTGAGGATATTTCGCGTGGCAGTTTTAATAGAAAAAAAAGCAAAGAGGGGCTGGGTGAGAAGGATTTTCGGGTGGCAGTTTTACAAATAAAGATAAGGAAGCGCCAGCGGGTGCGGATATCTCGGGTGGCAGTTTTAAGCCAGCGGGTGAGGATATTTCGGGTGGCAGTTTTAAGCCAGCGGGTGAGGATATCTCGGGTGAAAAGGATATTTCGCGTGGCAGGTTTAACGCCAGCGGGTGAGATATCTCGGGTGGCAGTTTTTAAGCCAAGCGGGTGAAGATCATTTCGGATGAGGATATTTCGGGTGGCAGTTTTAAGCCAGCGGGTGAGGATATCTCGGGTGGCAGGTTTAAGCCAGCGGGTGAGGATATCTCGGGTGGCAGTTTTAAGCCAGCGGGTGAGGATATCCCGGGTGGCAGTTTTAAGCCAGCGGGTGAGGATATTTCGGTGGAAGTTTTAAGCCAGCGGGTGAGGATATCTCGGGTGAGGATATTTTGGTGGCAGTTTTAAGCCAACGGGTGAGGATATTTCGGGTGGCAGTTTTAAGCCAGCGGGTGAGGATATTTCGCGTGGCAGTTTTAAGCCAGCGGGTGAGGATATCTCGGGTGGCAGTTTTAAGCCAGCGGGTGAGGATATTCCGCGTGGCAGTTTTAAGCCAGCGGGTGAGGATATTTCGGTGGCAGTTTTAAGCCAGCGGGTGAGGATATCTCGGGTGGCAGTTTTAGGCCAGCGGGTGAGTATATCTCGGGTGAGGATATTTCGGTGGCAGTTTTATGCCAGCGGGTGAGGATATTTCGGGTGGCAGTTTTAAGCCACGATGCACAAGTCCCAGGGCATGACAATTCCTTGTGTTGCTGCAAACTTGGGCGACACGGAAATGCATCTGGGCGGTACGTTACCGTCTTGTCTCGGGTGCCTGCCTTGACTGGTCCTTTATTTTTATTTTTTGTTTTTGTGTTATATGATTGTAACGGGGTTTTTGTTTGTGTTGTCTTTATGTGTAGTTTTTTTTAGTTATTATTAATTTTGCCTCTTTTATTTGACTTGAAAATTAAATTGTTGATTGTGTTGGGTGTTCTTGGTCCTTTGATTTGGAGTGATTTGTTTTTTGTCTTAGTTATGGTATTGTTTTGTTGTCGGGTCCTTTGGTTTGTGGCTTATATTAGAACCTAATTTGATGAAGGATATCCTTTATTTTTATTTGCTTTGATCTATTAGATTAGCTTTGAACGTTGGCTTAATAAATTTACGAACCGGTTGGCCAAGATCAACCAGAGCCGGTCTTTGTTGGCACGGAAAGAATACGAAGCTGCGAATTGGCCACCGCTCGAAGCCAATGCGCTTCGACATTTTCAGTCGGTCCTTGCAGAGCTGTTGCTGAAACGGGGGTCTCCCGAAGCAGCTGTGCTGGACACGATCGGCGGCTTGGCCGAAACAGCAGCTGAGCAATTGTCACTGCCTGACTTCACTGCGGAACTGTGAGCACTTTCTAGGGTGGAAACGCTGCGCTATCATCGTGGCGGCGACGGCCGGTGCCATTTCTACCATAATTTCTACCGGGAGAGTGCGGAAGGGCTCTCGCACGGGGGCGGCTTGTGCAGTTTGAGCAGAGATGGCACCCACGACGAAGAGGAGGGGGCAGGAGCAGGAGGAGGAGGAGGAGGAGGAGCAGGAGGATGATGATGATGATGATGATGATGATGATGATCATGATGATCATGATGATCATGGTGCTGATGCTGAGGAGGACGATGATGATGATGATGATTAGGATGAGGATGAGGATGAGGATGAGGATGATGACGATGAGGATTATGACGGCGGGGATGAGGCGATGGAAGGAGGACGAGGGAAGAGGAGGGGTGGAAGGAGGGCACGGAGATCGTGGAAAGGGTGCTCGCAAGGAGAGTGGCAAGGGGAAGAGGAAGGCGCTGGACGAGGAGGCCGACGAGGAGGAAGGAGGCGGAGGACAAGGCAAGAGGCGGCGGGAGGAGGATTTCATTGAAAATGGACGACGGGGGGGGGGAGATCAGCTCGAGGGCGGAGGACGCGGACGGGATGAGGAGGCGGCAGAAGGGAGGAGGAGGTCGAAGTGGAGGAGTCGTAGGAGGAGGAGGAGGAGGTGGAAGAGGAGGAGGAGGAGGAAGAGGAGGGAGGAACCGAGAAGAGCTCTGTGCTCGGCCCGGGCATCCAGCCGCCACGCGATGCATCATCTGCATGGTCGGCCCAGCCGACGGCTACGCCTCCAGCGAGGTGCTGCGCCCGTATATATGCTCGCCCCTTGGCGTGGGGCTGGCGGGGGGCCAAGGGGCGAGCTGTCCGGTGATTCCCTCCCTCTCCTCCTCCACCTCCCCCGAATGTGCACAAATCCCCGCTGTACTGCCGCATAACATGATGGAATGATGGAACATGATGGGGCCATTTGGGGGTTCCATGTCCGCTATAACACCCGTCGGCGGATATGACAAATCTGCGCAGTGGGAAGGCATGGGGGGTATGAGCAGGTTGTCAGATATGGCGCGAGCGCGCCTAGCTTTCATCTCACCTCTCTCCTCCTCCTCGCTCCTCCTCTCTCCTCCTCTCCTGCTCCTCCTTCTCCATCCCTTTTCCTTTCAACTAACTCCTCCTTGTCGCACTCCCAGACGTGCTGGTAGGGCGGGCCAGGCGTTTCGCATGAGACTTTCTCCCCGTTTGTGATCCTGGAGCTTGCAACTTGCAACGTGCAACAGCTTTCCGGATGGAGAGGCGGTTCTCAACATGTTCCTCTCGCCCTTGCGCTGCGCATACTCGTCCTAACCCTTTGCCGTAATTTCAAGGATAGAGCGTGGGGGGGGTTCAAAATGTGGCTCTCGCTATGTAGCGCCGCGCACCGTCGTCGGAAAAGTTACCAGCAGCTTAATGGATTGAGGGCGGCTCTTTTTCAACACGTGGGTCTTGCCTTAGCGCCGCGCAGATTAGTCTTACAAGTTTGCAACAGCTTCAATAATGAACGGCGGGTGGTTTTCAGTATGTGGATATCGCCCTCGCGCCGCGCACAATCGTCTGAACAAGTATCAGCAGTTTCACGGATGGAGGGCGGCGCTTTTTCAAACCGTGGCTCTCGCCTCAGTACCACGCACAGTAGTCTTAGAAGCTTGTAGCAATGCCAATGATGGAGGGCAAATTGTGTTCAATAGGTTCCTCTCGCCTTAGCGTCTGGCGCATTCGTGCTAACAATTGCAGAAGATTCACGGATGGGGGCAGTCCTTTTTCAAACTATGGTTATCGCCTCAGCGCCGCACACATTCGTCATTAGCCTTCACTTATCAGCAGTTTCAAAGTTGACGGGAGGGTGACTTTCGAACTGTGACTCTCGCTTGAGCGCCGCATCCATTTTGGAGGGCGTTATGATTTTCAAAACGTGGCTCTTGCCTCAGCACCACGCACATTCATCTTACAAGTCTGCAGCAAATTCAACATTTCCCATGGTTGGAGTCCCAGGGATGGCGTTCCGGCAACATCAAAATTGTCAAGTCGCAGCGGTCACGTGGATGCGTGGTGTCGAAGTCTCAGGAACGGCGTGCTGGTACCTTGTGGGATTGCCAGGACGCCACAGTCACGTTGATTTGCGGCGCTGGAGTCCCAGGAACGGTCTTTTGGCACGGTTGAGGTTCTCAGGCGATTGTCTTCCAACGGGGCCCTTGCCGAAATTAAAACCAATTCTCGGGGGGTCGAGCGAGCGCTCTCCACCACTCCCGCGCGCTCCCGCGGCGCCGCGACGGGCCGCGGGGGTCGTCCTCCGCCACGCGGCGGACCGTGGCCGCGTAGACCGCGGCGCGGCGGTTCTCGCTCGACCAGGGGTCCTCGAGCAGAGCAGGCATCAAGACCGAGGCTGTTCGGCTAGGAAGCAACTGCTGGGAGGTCTTCGTCGGAACAATCAAAGAGAATTGAACCCCTTTGGGGAGCTGCTACGCCAGATTAGGCCGCGCACTAAGCGGGATTAAAGGATTATGCCAGAGTAAGCTGGATTTTGGACCAAAGCAAAATCAGAATTTGACTTCCCAAGAGTTGCATCCGAAATTCTGTCTTGTGGATGCAAAATCGCAGTTTTAGAATCGCCACAACACAAGAGCAAATTCGCAAAAACACAATAAAAACAACCAACGCGCAAAATCGCAGTTTTGATGCTTCCGCGTTTCTGTGGGCCATCTGGGAAGCTTCTCCTCGCTGCAGCTGGATTCCACTCGGAATTCTGGTCAGAACAAACCCCCGAACAGGTTCAGGGGCAGATTTTTGGCCTCCGATCCTGACGATGGCGACGGCGAGGAGAGCGCGAGGAAGAAGAGGACGACGAGGACGAACCATGACGGCGACGACGACGACGACGAACGACGACGACGATGATGATGACCGACCGAACCACCGACCGACGACCGACGATGGCTTGAACTTAAGGCAATTGTTTCGCATGTTTTCGCCTTCGGGGGCCAGTTTTGGGCCAAAGCCGCGGAGAAACGACCCAGGATGAAGCACCGGCCCCGGGGAAGTGGTCGAGAAGTCTCGGGCCCATGTGTAGAGTAACCGAGCAGTCGGATGTCTGGTAAGAGTAGAACTAATTATGATCGATCGACGTCTCATCCATACAGCTGGTTCTTGTCATGCCGACATGGGCTCTGGTTTCTGACACTGCGTGAATAGTTCAGTCATGGCAGCTCTCCGACAACGCAGATCATTCGGTACCGACCGATTCCAGACCACTGGCGGCGTTCATCCTTGAACGCCCGCGCTGGAGTCGCCGCGCGGTCGATGTGACGCAAACCTACGAACCGGGGGTGGACAGGAGCCCCTGTATCAAACCACGCTCTCGCGGAAACGACGCGGGACCAGACCAGGCGGGCGCAGGCCCGAAAAGTTGTGGGCCCCACACATTCTGGAGAACCGACATAAGGCAACTTGCTAATCGACTTGGCCGTGTGGGAGTTCTACCAACCTCCGATACGAAGGAGCGGAATGGGGGCATGGATCAGACGCTAGCCTCTTGATGCGCCGAAAATCGTATCCATGCCTTGGTTCCCTGACACAGCAGGCGTATGGATGGAGCGTCGATCGCCGATGCTGGCAGCGCTCAGGACGAGTGTCGACGCCGACGTCGTCGTTTCGGAGTTTGGGGTTCTTCTGAGGGACGGCTGGACGTTGCTCGAAAGAGAGGCCAGGATGTGCCCGGGGAGAAAGGTCTGGGAACCCATTTCGAGCGAGGGGACGGACAACGAAGGCAGTGCGGCTTCTCAGAGGGGCGCGGAGGAGGCTTCTGCGAGGGCTTCTCAGAAGGCAAGAGGCTGTGATAGAAATCCCATGCCGTCTTGGAAAGCCGCCCCCCCTCGCACCACCCACTTCGGGACAACCAGTCATTGCTGCGCCCACACCCCCTTGGACTGCCCGAATGCGATGCCTGCTGCATCGCAATGGATCTGGGGGCCCTGAAAAGACCACGTCGTCACATCTGCCCACCCCAAGCAAATATTGTATCTGAGAGGTCCCGCATGGTCTCACACGGTCCCGTGAGACACCCCTGGTCGACACCCCTTCGGGAGGTCCGAATGCGATGCGTGCTACCTCCTGATGGTCTTGGAGATCTGCAAAGAGAAACAAGTTCATCCCCCCCCAAACAACAAAAATGGGAGTTCTACCTGAGAGGTCCCACCAATCTGGGCTCGAACGGTCAGAAAAAACACACCTGGTGACAGGAAGGATGCGTACGCCGGAGCATGAACGGGTCTGAGCAGGATTGCAGGATTATGGGTATGAGTTACGTAGTCAGAGTGTGAGTGGACCTCAGTCTGAGAAACTGGGTATGGGTCGCGGCAAGATCGTGCGGACCCAGCGCGCGAAGTTTCTCCTGCAGGATTGTCGTGGCAGGCTTGCAGGGCTGCAGGGCAAGGCTATCAAGGCTGCAGCCACGCGGGGGAGCGCTGCGGTGCCTCTCTTGCTCGCCGCGGGCTCGGCCGTCAGGGCCGCTCGTGCTCGGCAGGACCAAGACGCCGCCGAGGACGACCAAGCAAGCGGTCTGGCGGACCCTGAAGTGGAGTACCGTGTCGCGTATGACGACGGGGGCTATGGCGACGAGACGGTCCTCAGCCAGGTCAGCGCGGCCCCTCGTCCCGGCGACCGAGCCCTACGTCAAGAACGGCCTCCACCAGGAGATCAGGTGCCACCAGGAGCTCCTGTTCCACCTGAAGCGGGGGTTCCTTCGGGAGATCGAGCACCACCTGGAGCTCGAGTACCTTCGGAAGATCGGGTACCTGCTGGCGATCAAGTACCACCAGGAGATCGGGTACCGCACGGAGTTCCTGTACCGCCTGAAGTGGGTGTTCCTTCTGGAGATCAGGTACCACTTGAAGCTCGGGCACCTGCTGGAGTGCGGATTCCACATGCGGTTCGGGTACCGCCAGGAGTCCTCCCGGCACCACACCAGCAGCAGTGGAGCTTGGGGGAGATCAAGTACCACCAGGAGCTCAAGCATCTGCTGGAGATCGTGTACAGTGGGACTCGATTGGACAGGACACGCGAGAGGACACAAGACCCTTCCGAGGGCCACGTTGCCACAGAAATGCAGGAGCCATGTGTCGCAAGACAAAGGACACGAAGCTACCCTGGATCTGGCAAGGGTAGGGTCGACCTACTAATCCAGGCCGCCTGTACGTACAGCTGCCGCACCACCTGATGCAGGGGAGCCACCTGGAGGTCGGGTCCCACCAGAAGCCCAAGCACCTTCGCAAGAGCGAGCGCATGCTGGAGACCGAGCACCGCTTGGCGGTCGACCCGGAGCGCAGGTGGCCCCTGGAGCTCGGGTGCCCTCTGGTGAACAGGCAGTGCCTCCCAGCCAGCCTGCGCTCGTGATCGACGCTGAGCTGGAGCGCTCCCTGGACGCGGACGGGCCCGCAGCCTCCAGCCTAGCGGGCCGAGGCCGCGGCACTGCCTCGCAGCTTCGCGGGGAAGCCGATGCGTGCTCGCCCCTCTTGGGCGAGCGCCAAGGACTTGCACGTGAGGGCAGCCTGAAAGATGGTGGTAAGTCTCCAACTACTCCTACGGCGGCCTGGGCGCGTGCAGGGGTGGCCTCGGGCTCCTGCCATCCCCCTGGCAGCGCGGCAGCGGGCTCCCAGCTCCGCGCGGCCTCGGCGGAAGGGCCTCGAGGCAGCCAGGTGCCGGCGGCGTCCCGAGCGGGCACCCCGCCGCCCAGGCCGCACCATATCGAGATGGTCGGCGAGTTCGTGGTGTGCGTCGTGTGCGGCTCCTACTCGAAGCAGGTGGCCAGGAACCTCACGGGCCCATGCAGGAGGTTGGACGTGCGCGACCCATGGGATCGTGAGCGCCAGCGGAGGATCGCCCGCATCATGGGCGGCAAGGATCCCAAGACGGGCAAGCCCATGCTGGGCTGAGCTGGAGGCGCCGAGGCCATTGTGCCCGTGCTGAGCCGAGCGGCCAGGCCGTTGAGCGCGCTGCTCGGCCTCCTCCTCTTCCTGCCCGCAGCCTGCAGGCCCGAAGGCTGCGGCGAGGCGCGGACGCCCAGCAGTGTCCGATCATCAGAATCACCAGAATCACACATAATCACCGGACACACAGACACACACAGACACACAGACAGACAGACACACAGACCAGACACACAGACAGACACACAGACACACACAAACACACACAGACAGACACACAGACAGACACAAAGACAGACACACAGACAGACACACAGACACACAGAAAGGACACACAGACACACACACAGACACACAGACAGACACACACAGACACACAGACAGACACACAGACAGACACACAGACAGACACACACACACATAGACACACAGACAGACACACACATAGACACACAGACAGACACACACACAGACACACAGACAGACACACAGACAGACAAACAGACAGACACACAGACAGACACACAGACAGACACACAGACACACACAGACAGACACACAGACAGACACACACAGCCAGACACACAGACACACAGACAGACAGACACACAGACACAGACACACAGACAGACACACAGACAGCACACAAACAGACACACACACACAGACACGCAGACAGACACACACACAGACACGCACGCAGACACACACACACAGACACGCAGACACACAGAAAGGACACACATACACACAAACACAGACACACAGACAGACACAGACACACAGACACACAGACAGACACACAGACAGACACACAGACAGACACACAGACAGACACACACACATAGACACACAGACAGACACACAGACACAGACACACAGACAGACACACACACACAGACACACAGACAGACACACAGACAGGCACACAGACAGACACACAGACAGACACACAGACAGACACACAGACACACACACACAGACAGACACATAGACACACACACAGCCAGACACACAGACAGACACACACACAGACACACAGCCAGACACACAGACAGACAGACAGACACACAGACAGACACGCAGGCAGACAAACAGACAGACACTCAGACACAGACACACACACAGACACACAGGCAGACACACACACAGACACACAAACAGACAGACACATAGACAGACACACAGACACACAGAAAGGACACACAGACAGACACACAGACAGACACACAGACAGGCACACAGACAGACACACAGACAAACACACAAACAGACACACAGGCAGACACACACAGACACAGAGAGACACAGACACACAAACACACAACCAGACACAAAGACAGACACACAGGCACACAAACACAGACAGACAGACACACAGAAACACGCACAGACACACAGACAGACAGACACAGGCAGACACACACACAGACACACAGACAGACACACAGACAGACACAAACACAGACAGACACACAGGCACACACACGGACACAGACACACAGACACAGACACACAGACACACAGACACAGACTCACACACAGACAGACACACAGACACACAGACAGAAACACACACAGACACACAGACACAAACACACACAGACACACACAGACACACACAGGCACACACATACACACAGACACGCACATAGACACACGCAGACACACACACAGACACACACACACACACAGACACACACACACACAGGCACACACACACGGGCACGTACACACATTCAAGCACACAGAAACACACACAGACACACACATCGACACACACACAGACACACACAAACACACAGACACACACAGATACACACACAGACACACAGACGCAACCACAGACATACACAGACACACACACAGACACATACAGAAACACACACAGGCACACAGACACAGACACACAGACACAGACACACAGACACAGACACACACACAGACAGACACACAGACAGACACACAGACAGACACTCAGACACACACACACACAACGACAGAACACAAACACACACAGACACACACAGACACACACAGACACACACACAGGCACACACACAGGCACACACACAGACACACAAACAGACACACAGACAGACACACAGGCAGACACACACAGACACAGAGAGACACAGACACACAAACACACAAACAGACACAAAGACAGCCACACAGGCACATTCACACAGACAGACAGACACACAGAAACACACACAGGCACACACAGACATACAGACAGACACACAGACAGACACACAGACAGACACACAGACAGACACACACACACAGGCACACACACACAGACACACACACAGACACACGGTCAGACACACAGGCAGACACACAGACAGACACACAGACAGACACACAGGCAGACACACAGACAGACACACAGACACACACACAGACAGACACAGACACACAGATACAGACACACAGAAAGGACACACAGACACACAAACACAGACACACTGACACAGACACACAGGCACAGACACACAGGCACAGACACACAGACACGGACGCACACACAGACACACACAGACATACACATAGACACACACAGACAGACACACTCACAGACACACACACACAGACAAACACACACACAGACACACACCCACAGACACACACAGACAGACACACAGACACACACACAGACACACAGACACACACACAACACACACAGACCCACAGACACACACAGACACACACAGACACACACACAGGCAAACATACACAGACACAGACACACAGACACACAGACACAGACACACACGCAGTCACACAGACAGACACACAGACACAGAGACACACACACACAGACACACACACAGACACACACAGACACACACACAGACACACAGACACACAGACACAGACACACACGCAGTCACACAGACAGACACACAGACACAGAGACACACACACACACAGACACACACAGACACACACAGACACACACAGACACACACAGACACACACACAGACACACACGCAGACACACACACAGACACACACACAGACACAGACACACACACGCACACAGACACTGCGAAGCCCTCCCCATCCCCCTACCCAAGGGCGCCCCGCTTCGTGCTCCGCGCTGCGCGAACAACTTCGCGCCCTCGCGCCGCGGGAGAAGAGGAGGACGTGGAATTGGAGCCGAACTGCGAAGCGCGAGACGCAGATACTTTCGCGCCCTCGAAGGCGCCCTCGCTACCCTTCGGTCGGCCGTGTCCTCCTACAGGCGAATTTTGAAAGACAAAGAAAAATAATCAAAACAAATGAAAAGCCATAGAGCACGAAACATTACCCCCAGAGCATTTTTGCTACTATTCTTGATTATTCCTCCTGTAGGGGGACATGCCCGACTTGATGCTACCCCCGTCTTCGGGGGCGTCTAAGAGGGGGGGGCGTAAATCATGGCCGGCGGCATGTGCGCGGCCCAGCGGGGGGGGGGCCCGGGACGTAATGAAGTAAGAAGAGGCGCAGTGAAATCAGAATCAGGGGAGATCTCATGGACTCCGCCATGATCCGCCGGCCCCCTTGCGGGGCCATCAGGCTGCGAGGATTAGGCTTGCCGCTCCCTGCTCCAGTTCCAGTTCCCAGTGTCCATTGTGATAGTTCTACGTTCTGCTTCCTACTGTAAATTGTTTAAGTTCGCGCGAGGGGGGAAACCGAAAAGCAGCCTGGTTAGCGTCACCCCCCGGGGTTCCCAAAATTCCTGGGGGGGCGTGGGACATGTAAAAATACATAAGAATCGCGCGCCGAGGTCATAAACCCTTGTAAAATACTCCATATTCGCGTTACCGAAGCCATAAACTGTTATGAATTATACTATTTTGCGCGCCCGAAGCCACAATCTTTAGTACATTACACAGCGTTCGCGTCCCCGAGGCCACGAAGCATCGTAAATTATACGATGGTCGAGTCACCGAAGCCATCATCCCTGCTAAATTACATCATATTCGCGTCCCCGAGGCCAGAAACCTTGATAAATCATGCAATGGTCGCGTCCCCGAGGTCATTATGTCCGTAACTTACGCAATATTTGCGCCCCGAAACCGCAAACTCTTTCGAATTATACAATATTCGCGCCCACGCTTCGTATATTAGGCATAAGCCCTCGTACATAACACAATATTCGCGCGCACGAGGCCACGATCCCTCGTGAATTACGCAATCTTTGCATCCCCGAAGCCACGATCCCTTGCAAATTACCACCAAGAGGCGCCCAAACCGCATCCAAGAGGCCCTCTTGGGGCTCCCCACGACAACCCAACACATAGCAAGAGGCCTCAGACCCACAACTCAGGCACAGTCGCGGGATGGGCCGAAGGTCACTAGGATAACGCCAACGTCTCAATATGCGCTGATGATTCCTATCCGCCCCCGCATGATGTTCCACTATGCGCCAAGGCAGCGCCGAGACGCACCGACGCGACTCTGATATATCCCATTCTGATCAAGGGGGGGGCCGGCGGCAGGGGGCGAAGCCCTTACGGATATCCCCCCCCGTAGTTATCACCCCCCTCTTGGTCGCCCCCGACATCTGCGCGTGGCTGACACTCCTCGCCGAGCACCGGCGGCGACGCGAGCGCGACCTGGGCCCCGGACTCCAGGAGGCGGTCCCTGCCGGGGCGACGGGGGGCGACGGCCAGAGAGGGCGGCCGACGACGCGTGCGGAGACGCAGACGACCCGTCTGGGGCCCAGCACGGGTCGGCCCCCCGAAAAGCTGCCGGGCCTCAGCCGTCCCTCACCCGGAACAGTCCAGGGGGCAGTCTCGAGACCGCCCTGGACTACTCGGCTTCGAGGATCGAGATTAGCGACCGCTTGTTTATCTTACTGAGCTTCTAGAGGCGCTGTTGCCGCTGCGCGGCCGCGCCCGCCCTGGAGACTCGTGCCATCGCTCGGACGTCTATTACACGTGCATGTTACGAGTTCGTGTGTGTGTGTGTTGTTTTTGTCCGATGATCAAAGATGCTCCTCGATGGTCCTTGCCGAGGACATCTTCACACGTCCGAGCGATGCCAAGTCAAGAGATGTGCCCCCCCCCCTCCCAGCAGGCCAGGGGGGCAGCCTCGAGACCGCCCTGGACCACTCGGCTTCGAGAACCGAAGTTCGAGAATCGAGGCTTTCGACCGCTCGTTTCTCTTACTGAGCTTCTAAGAAGCGCTGTTGCCACTGCACGGCCGCGTCCGCCCTGGAAATTCTCGCCACAACGCGCCCTGCTCCGGGGGGGGCTGTCGGGGCCAGCCAGGACTGCCCAGGGGGTCTGTCCGTGCGCAACCCCAAGCCTAACCAACGACAACGTTCGTCCATTTGTGAACCCTGCGGTTGACGGAGGCCTGCGTGAAAGCAGGGCGTGCTGGCATGCGTCTCAGGTCTGGAGTATTTCACTCGGCCAGAAGTTCTGAGATCAGCCCACCACTGTGGATCCATATCTGAACCCTGCCAATCGTCGCCCGAACTCCTAGGTTTCGGCGACCACGACGACGTCTTCTTTTCGGAGGGTGTTGGGCGCTTCGGCAGACTCTCATCGCCGCGGCAAGGAGCACTGAACAGGAGGGAGCCTGCGAGGGGTCCAGAAACTGGTTTTGAGAACACTTCGCACGACGCCAAGGATAACAACCACGACGACGGTGACCGCGACTGTCGCGCTGCACGGCAAGCGTCGCTCTCACGTGGGGGGAGGTGACCGCGACTTGGAAAGGCGCCAGCTGTAACGATGCCTGCACCGATCCAGGGCTCAGGATGGGCCTGGCCAGGATCGGCGTAGAGCCATCATGCCACCATACGAACATCAGCTAGGGAACAAAATGGTCTTTTCCAGCCACGATGCGCCTCGGCCACGAATAGGTTTCTGGGCCTAAGGATCCAAGGAGCGACCCGAAAAGCAACGCCCCTCCTGCACCCAACGCGATCCTTATTCCAGCGTCTTGACTGCACGCCTGAAACTGACCCTGGGCCCGAGAGGGGCCTGAGTGGGTCTACGACGCGCGCGCTTCGCGCGCGCTGAGGTTCTAGCTGCTCGAATGCTGACCGCATTGGGAGCAACACGGCGGTCATGACTGAGGACAGCAACGCTGCTGAAGGCGAAGCGGATCCCCCGCAAGATCGTGAGCAAGCGCCCTGCAGCCAGCGTAGTCGTGAAAAAGACACACCAAAAACAGTGAAGCGGACTGTCTTTACGAAGCACCGAATCCGCTGAGCGGATCTCCGATGTGTGCGCTGTGTACTTTTTGAAGTGCGGCACGCTCCCCCTCGCAGAAACATGCGCTATTCGCATTGCGCCAGCTTTGTCGTCATCACCATCCGTCCCACGGGGGGAGAAGAACAGAGCTGAGGGGGAGGGAGGAGGGGGAATGAGGAGGAAGGAGGAGGAGGAAGACTGTGGAGGAAGAGGAGGAATTTTATCCGCGTGAATCGTGTGCACTAGAAGGAGGAGGAGGAGGAGGAGGAGGAAAAGGTCGGTTGAGGGAGGGAGGCTGGGCCCCCAGGTGTTTTGGTACAACTGGGCCCCCCAGGGGTTTTGGTACAACTGGGCCCCAAGGTGTTTTGGTCGTAGTCGTCGTGGTCGTCGTCGTCGTGGTCGTCGTCGTCGCGGTTGTTGTGGTCGTCGTTTCAGTCGCGTGAGTCGTGTGCACTGGAAGGCGGAGGAAGAGAAGGAAAAGGTCGGTTGAGGGAGGGAGGCTGGCCCCCCAGGTGTTTTGGTACAACTGGGCCCCCCAGGTGTTTTGGTACAACTGGGCCCCCAGGTGTTTTGGTCGTTGTCGTGCGCGTCGTGGTCGTCGTCGTCGTGCTCGTCGTGCTCGTCGTGGTCGTCGTCGTCGTCGTCGTTGTCGTGGTCGTCGTTTTATTCGCGCGAGTCGTGTGCAGTAGAAGGAGGAGGAGGAGGAGGAGGAGGAAGACTGAGGACAACTGGGTCCCCGATGGTTTTGGTACACCTGGGCTCCCAGCTGTTTTGCACAACTGGGCCTCTGACTGCTCGGCACCACTGGGCCCCCGTCATCTTGCTGCTTCCTGTTTATATGATCAAGTTCCCTGCAGCGAAGCGCCCCCTGCCTCTCTGGGAACGCCTGTGCGGCCAAACGGTGCTAATGGGCGACTGACCGTGCGTGTGCGCAGGAACCGTGCGAGGGCGAGGGAGGACCAACCTGGAGAAACCGAGCATGACGCATACATTAAACGCGGTACAAAGGACGAGAGAGAGAGAGAGAGAGGCGGGGAGGGAGAGAGAGAGAGAGAGAGAGAGCGAGACAGAGGGATAGAAACCCACGACGTCGGAGATACAGAGAAAGAGAACGAGAGAGAGAGAGAGAGAGCGAGGAAGAGAGACAGAGAAAGAGAGAGAGGGAGAGAAAGAGAGACAGAGAGCGAGAGAGAGAGGTCAAATAGCCCCATAAGTTCCCACGAGTCTATATATATATATATGTATATATATATGTATACATATACATTTACAAGGCTGCATTGGCGCTTCGCGCCATGCACCTTGTTTCTTGAAGCTTTGGAATGGTTGGCCCGTGGTGCCATCCTTTTTTCCATTTTAGCCGCGGTCCGCTGGTTCGTCCTTCGGAGAAGCGCAGGGAGAGCAGAAAGGGGGGCAATCAACCTGGGACGGGCCAAAACTGCGAGTTGGAGGCCGCGGGCGCATGGAATGGCGCATATTAATGGGGGCCGCGCGGGAAACAGCTGGAATCCCGGGTTCGCAACAGAATTTCCGGAAAATTGGTTGCGAACCCGGGATTATGAGCATAATGCGGCTATTCTTCAGGGAATATCAGATGAAGGGGGCGCGGGGCGGCGGAGTGGTGCGATTTCGAGGGCGGCGGGTTGGGCGGTCTTGGAACGTGGGAAACCCGAAAAAGCAAGGACGCTGAAAACATTGAACAACGAATGGGAAAGTAACATTTTTGAATGTTTTTGGAGCCTCACCGAAACGTCTTAGGGGGCCTCCCGAGGCCCTTTGGAGCTCTCTTGGGGCTTCCTTGGGCCCTTTCGGGGCGGGAGGCTCGTATTTTCAGTTTTCTGGTCCTCCCTGGGGCCTTTCTTTGGGCCGTCTCGGAGCGTTCGTGGGCCGTCTTGGACCGTCTTGGGGCGCGTCTTGGACCGTCTTGGGGCGCTCTCAGCGCGCTCTGGGAGCCCCTTGGGCTGTTGTGGAGCGGTTTTGGGGGCTTCTTGGGCGGTCTTGGAACGTGGGAAACCCGAAAAAGCGAGGACGCTGAAAACACTGAAAAACTAATGGGAAACAATCAATTTGGGATGTTTTTGGAGCCTCACCGAAACGTCTTAGGGGGCTTCCCGAGGCCCTTTGGAGCTCTCTTGGGGCCTCCTTGGGCTCTTTCGGGGCGGGAGGCTCGTATTTTGAGTTCGTGGTCCCCCCTGGGGCTCTTCTTTGGGCCGTCTTGGAACGTTCGTGGGCCATCTCGGACGCGTCTTGGGCCGTCTTGGGGCTTTCTCAGAGCGCTCTGGGAGCCTCTTGGGCCGTTGTGGGGCGGTTTTGGGAGCTTCTTGGGCGGTCTTGGAGCGTCGGACACCTGAAAAAGCGAGGACGCTGAAAACATTGAAAAACCAATCGAAAAGTAACAATTTGGGATGTTTTTGGAGCCTCACCGGAGCTACTTAGGGGGCTTCCCGAGGCCCTGTGGAGCTCTCTTGGGGCCTCCTTGGGCCTTCTCGGGGCGGGAGGCTCGTATTTTCAGTTCGTGGTCCCCCCTGGGGCTCCTCTTTGGGCCGTCTTGGAGCCTTCGTGGGATCTCGGGCGCGTCTTGGACCGTCTTGGGGCGCTCTCAGCGCGCTCTGGGAGCTTCTTGGGCCGTTTGGAGCGGTTTTGGGAGCTTCTTGGGCGGTCTGGGAGCGTCGGACACCTGAAAAAGCGAGGACGCTGAAAACCTTGAAAAACCAACGGAAGTTCAATGATTTTGTTCTCTCGGGCCCCCTTTGAGAACGGTCTTGGGGCTCTCGCGGAGGGTCTTCAAGGCTACTCGGGTACTATCCTGGACTGTCTTGGGTGTCTCTGTGGGCTTGCGCCGACCGATTTGGCACTGCCGCCCGCCTGTGTGCACGCCTCGGAAAGGATTTTCGGCCGCCCCCGTGGCACGGATCCGGGGGGTCCCGTTTCGGGGGGGGGTCCGCACCCCCGGAATTATAGAAATATAGAAAATGGAATAGCCCTCCGCACGCACCAAGAACCCCCCTTTCTCCAGACTCTATATGAATTCATATATGATTCCTAAGATTTTCGGACTTCATTTTGAGGCTCATTGTTCGAAGACTTTCTCAACTCATTTTGATTTGACAATAACCTTCTACTCAACTCCCTCCGTCTCCAACACACCATCCAGTACTCAACACCCTCCGTCTCCAACACACCACCCGATACTCAACAGGCTCCCTCCCCAAGCTGAACTTGAAAATACCCTTCTACTCAACTCCCTCCGTCTCCTACACACCATGCAGTACTCAACAGGCTCCCTCCCCAAGCTGAACTTGAAAATAACCTTCTACTCAACTCCCTCCGTCTCCAACACACCATCCAATACTCAACGCCCTCCGTCTCCAACACACCACCCGATACTCAACAGGCTCCCTCCCCAAGTTGAACTTGAAGATAACCTTCTACTCACCTCCCTCCGTCTCCAACACACCATCCAGTACTCAACATCCTCCGTCTCCAACGCACCACCCGATATTCAGCAGGCTCCCTCCCCAAGCTGAACTTGAAAATAACCTTCTACTCAACTCCCTCCGTCTCCAACACACCATCCAGTACTCAACACCCTCCGTCTCCAACACACCACCCGATACTCAACAGGCTCCCTCCCCAAGCTGAACTTGAAAATAACCTTCTACTCAACTCCCTCCGTCTCCTACACACCATCCAGTACTCAACACCCTCCGTCTCCAACACACCACCCGATACTCAACAGGCTCCCTCCCCAAGCTGAACTTGAAAATAACCTTCTACTCAACTCCCTCCGTCTCCAACACACCATCCAATACTCAACACCCTCCGTCTCCAACACACCACCCGATACTCCAAAGGCTCCCTCCCCAAGCTGAACTTGAAAATAACCTTCTACTAAACTCCCTCCGTCTCCTACACACCATGCAGTACTCAACATGCTCCCTCCCCAAGCTGAACTTGAAAATAACCTTCTACTCAACCCTCCGTCTCCAACACACCATCCAGTACTCAACACCCTCCGTCTCCAACACACCACCCGATACTCAACAGGCTCCCTCCCCAAGCTGAACTTGAAAATAACCTTCTACTCAACTCCCTCCGTCTCCAACACACCATCCAGTACTCAACACCCTCCGTCTCCAACACACCACCCGATACTCAACAGGCTCCCTCCCCAAGCTGAACTTGAAAATAACCTCGTACTCCACTCTCTCCGTCTCCTACACAGCATCCGGTACTCCACACCCTCCGTCCCCAACACTCCACCCGATACTCCACACCTGTCTTCTCCATCACACAACTTACCTTTCTGCCACACTGTTTCCTTTACGGTTGCAGCGCGCGCCTTCCGCCCCCCTTTTCTCTTGGCATCTTCCAAGAGAAAAGGGGGGTTCATGGTGCGTGCTGACACATATATATATATATATTTATATAGCTGGTGACCGGCGATGGCTGGTGCCAAGAGGGGGGCGGCTAGACGAACAATGGCGCACCACACGCGGCTAGGGCAGTGCTCCAGCCGGCGTTCGGGCTTCGGCGCGGCTGCTTGCACGACGACGAGGGCGACGCCGATGATGACGGTCCACGGTCGTCAACGACAGTCGAAGCCACGACGCCGACGCCGACGGCCCGCGGTCGAATCGACGAATTGACGGTCGACGACGGCGGCATTGGCGACGCCGAGGGGCCTGAGCTCCACGAGCGCCTGCTCGAACGGCTCCAGCCCGCGCCCGCCCGACCTGCCGCGGGCCAGCTCGTACATCCAGCCTCGGCGCGGCGCGCTCCGCCGCCCCACCCTGGAGGAGGGCCGGTCGGGCACAGTTCTCGGGGGTGGACAGAACCCCCAACAGTGACACGTCGATTAGTGAATTGTCCGTCTTCGGCTCTCGAGAGGGCGCCGTGGCCGTTATTTTCCAGGCTTGCGCCCGCCAGGTCGTTTTCACCAAACCACGTGTTACTAAAGGGGGGTCTGTCCATCCCCGAAGTTCCGAGGGGTCACCCCTGCTGAGACGAAGGCAGGACGACAGCAGATCCACGCGAGGACAAATTCGGAATCCCTGGGAGCCAGCGGGTCTGGCGGATGCATCGGGCGCCGCGGCCGTTCCGAAGCGCTGGTCGTCCACCCCCTCCCTGGCCGCCCACGAGATGAGCGGTCCACCCGCTAGGCCTGCTGGAGCCCCCGGCCCCTTGAGAAGGCTCGGCCGGGCACAGCCTCGAGGGGTTAGACTCCTACGCTGTCGGATGTCCCCCGGCGCGCGCCCCACGCGCGCCCCACGCGCGCCTCTCCTCTCCTCTCCTTTCCCCTCCCCTCCCCTCCTCTCCTCTCCTCTCCTCTCCTCTCCTCTCCTGCTCTCCTCCCATCCCTGCCTCTGCCCTCCGCGCCAAGTCAAGCATCTCGGCACACCCCTCACGCGCTTCGTGGCTCCATAAGGAGCTCAACCAAATGCCCCATTGGCGGTTTTCGCATGCGACTCCCCCACTCAGTACAGCGCTTCGTGGCCCCATGGGGAGCTCCACCGAAGGCCCCAATGGCGGTGTTTACATGCGTCTCACCCACCCAGCACAACGTTCCGAGGCCCCGTATGGAGCTCCACCGAAAGCCCCAGTGGCGGTGTTCGCATCCGTCCCCCCCGCCCAGCACAGCGCTTCGTGGCCCCATAGGAAGCTCAACCGAATGCCCCATTGGCGGTGTTCGCATGCGTCTTCCTCAGCCAGCACAATATTTTGTGGTCCCTTAATGAGCTCGAACCCCACTGGCGGTGTTCGTATGCGTCTCCCCCGCCCGGTACAGCGTTTCGTGGCCCACAGGAAGCGTGTTCGCACGTGTTTCCCCCGCCTGATACAGCGCTTCGTGGCCCCATAGGGAGCTCCACCGAAGACCCCAGTGGCGGTGTTCGCATGCGTCTCCCCCAGCCAGTACAACGCTTCGTGGCCCAATAGGGAGCTCCACCGAAGGCCTCAGTGGCGGTGTTCGCATGCGTTCCCCCCGCCCAGTACAGCGCTTCGTGGCCCCATAAGGTGCTCAACCAAATGCCCCAGTGGCGTCGCCCCGCGTCCCACCTCTCTTCTCCTCTCCTCTCCGCCTCCTCCTCCTCTTCCTCCTCCTCCTCCTCCTCCTCCTCCTCCTCCTCCTCCTCCTCCTCCTCCTCCTCCTCCCCCTCCTCCCGCTCCTCCCGCTCCTCCCTCCTCCCTATCCATGCCTCTACCCTCCGCTTGCCTCTAATTCGGCACACCCCTCACACGTCTAGTGGCCCCATAGGGAGCTCCGCTGGAGGCCGCAGTGGCGCCGCCCGCATGTGGGCGCCACCCCCGTTTCGGCACACCCCTCACACGCTTCGCGGCCACATAGGGAGCTCCACCGAAGGCCCCAGCGACGCAGCCCGCATGCGGGCGTTGCCCCATGGGCAAAGTCACCTCAGACGGTACTCACAATTGCGGTACTCACAACTGTTCTTCACCAAGCTCAGTTCTTCAGATTCATATGCTTGATCTGTTTTTTTTGTTTTTTTTCGTGCGATCAGTTTTCCCTCCCCCCCTGTGCCTCGGCGCCTTGCACTCCTTCGGCACGACCGCGAAGGGCTTCACGTTCTGAGCGGCTCCCGCCTCTGCTCGCCTTTCCCTGCTTCCCTCTCCGCTTCCCATGCCCCAATTCGTTCCCGTCGCGTCCCGCCCGAAGCCTAACCGGCGCCTACACCAGTTTCGATTTGCGTGGAGGATGGAGGAGAGATCAGGGAGGAGAGAGGAGAGAGGAGGAGGAGGAGAGAGGATACAATATCGAGGAGGGAGACAGGAGGAGGAGGAGAGTAGGGGGCAGAGCAGGGGAATAAAAGTCGAGGTTCGAGAATCGATGTTTTCTTGCGTTCTGAAGCTTTATGGGGCATCCAGGGGCGCCCTCGCTGCCATGGCTGGATCCTCGAAGTGGCAGCCGGAAAACGCTCCAGGGTAAGTCCACGGGCGAGTTTTTGAGAAGAGGAAGAGGGGGGAGAGGATCGAGCAACTATGCTGTCCATATTTGTTGTTCTTTTCGGGTCCAGGGGGCTCCGATCTGCCTCGAAAATCTTCCCAGGACGCGCCCTACAGGAGGTCGGGGGGGCGGGTCAGGGGAAGGCGGAGGAGGAGGAGGAGGAGGAGGAGGAGGAGGAGGAGGAGGAGGAGGAACATGACGAGATTACGGTCGACGAGGGGTGGAAATGAGGACGAGGAATGGCACAGAGCGGAACAAGGACAGGGAGAGGAAACAAGGAGATAATCCGCCACCGTGCCCCCATGGCACGCGGAGGCGCGGAAGAAGCCAAATGGTGGGGGCCTCCGAATTCTAGTAAAGGGGCACTCCCCTTCCACACCCGCGGACTCTTTTGTGCATCGCCCCTCCTTCCCGAGCTCACTTCCCCAGTGCCCGCTCGAGGATGGTGCACTGCCAGCGTGGCGGCTGATGCCTCACCCCTCTCCACGCGTGCCCGCTCGAGGATGGTGCCCTTCCAACATGGCTGTTAATGCCTGAGGCCCCCTCTTCCACGCGTGCCCGCTCGAAAATGGCGTGCTCCCCGCGTGGCAGCTGACGCCGGAACCCTTATTCTATACGCGCCCGGTCCAGGATTGTGCCCTTCCCTCATGGCTGCTAACTCCTAGGCCCATCCCACGCGCACCCGCTCGAGGATCGTACACTTTCTGCATTCCCGAACTGTGTTCCCCAACGTTCCAAGGCCTCCCAAGCCACCACCCGTTGATAACAATCCTCGAAGACGGCCCAATATGACCACAAGGCGGACAGGACTGGACAGGAAAAGACCTTCGCCTAGATGGCGCATCGGCAGAACATAACTAATTGTAAAGGCCATGGGACAATCAAACGAGGACAATTCCGCGCTGAATGCAAGCGCGTTGGAACGTAGCCATTGCGCATGACGATGAAAGGCGGCGGGAAAAATTGCACCAGCAGGACGGCGCGCAGGAGGGGGAGGGGGAAGGAGGCGGAGGGGGGGAGAGGGGGGAAGGAAAGCGAAACCTGATATATCAACTTGCAATCGCAATGCGTGACAATAGCGTCGAACACGTGCCTCCCGCTGCGATCTGGGAGGGTTCAGCAGATTATGTACTGCATCGGCTCCGTCTCCTACTAAGCTCAAGGCGCGCGCATGCCGCCCGCTGCAAACGGGCCCCCCCGCACCTTCGAGGGCGCGCCACTCCCTGGGCAATGCACCGTGGACGCGGCTTTCCTCAAACACCATGCGCCCAAGTAGAGAATTCGGGTGGGCTTTTGCCAACTTGCCGTGGCATCCGATTGTTTTTGCCATGGGTCAACTGAAAGAGGGCGGGCGCCTATGAACAACCCCTCTTTTGCATTGCTCACTCGAGAGATGAAGGCCCATAGGATGCTGCGAATCCCCTGAAGGCAATGCGATTGGAACCCATCGGGCCTGTCCCGGTCAGCAGCCAACAACGCGCATTATTCCAAGCCGTCGAACAATTTGGAAAAGATGCACGCGTCCAGAATCTGTATCTCCTGCATCCGTGTTACGCGCGCGTGGCCTCATGCAGCACTGGGCGGTGGAGCAATTTTGTGGCTTCCCCAAGGCGCTTTGTCAACTCTGCCTTCGGATCCCTGTCTGCGCTTACATAACCGCCCAAACCACATCGATTGCGCGATCTTTGCGTCGAACGGCTTCCCCACCAGGCCCGGGGAATAACTTGCGCTGACCTGATTTGCAGGAGCGCGGTCCTCCCCTCGTCCGGCCCCAAGCCGAAACCGATTGCTTTTCCGATCTGGGCCTCGGTGCCCAGGTGATGTCGGAAGCGTTCCCCGTCTTCAGCCATCGACGTTGCGCCGTCAGCATGAAGGAATCCTCTGCGATGATGCGTGGTCTCCAGCATCGCTCTGGCATGTCTGCATTCGTCTCGGCACCCGCTGCTTCCATCGACGCCGACGTCGCGCCGGGGAGATGGCGGGCGGCCCTGTGCCATCCCTGCATTCTGCGGTCGCTGAGAGGACACGGCGCCCCCGTTTTCGACAAACCCATTCACGCGTTGCGCGCGTCGCCTTAACCGCGTCAATCACAGGCGCGGGAAGCCCAAGATGACGCACGGCGCGCAGTAAACCCTCCGGCTTCACACAGTGGACAGCCTTGTTCCAAGTGGGCCCAATATTGGCGACTCCGCGTGCTTATCCGACAGCGTGGCATCGATGTGTCGGCGAGCCAAGAATAGTCCTCTGCTGCGCCGCGTCCAAATATGAAACGATGCCGCGACTCCCGCGGGCGCTGTTCTACTCGCCCGGTCTTCAGCCCGCGTCGACGCAATGCTCGCCAACGCATTGCGCCCAACGGCCAAGAGAGAAACGAGGAGATAATCGCGCGTTCCGATGCGTCTCGCTTGTGGACCAAAAAAACCACAATTGGAGCCTCCCGCCGCCCTGCTAAAATCCCACCAGCCCTCTGGGCGTAGGTGGTCTAGAGCAGATCCTCTTCCACCCCTCCCTCTTCCCCCTTGGGGAGGGGTTTACCCCTCCCCCTACCCCCTCCCCTGGACCTGGACGGGGGGGGCCGCTGGTAGTTAGAGCGTCCCAGATGGCCCAAGACGGCTCCAAGAGCGCCTCAGAGAACCCAAGATGAGCTCCAAGATGGCTCAAGATAGCGCAAGATCGCTCGAGATGGCTCCTAAGATGGTTCCAAGAAGCCCAAAGACGGCCCCAAGATAACTCCAAGTGGCCAAACAGCTCCCCAAGGAGGCCCCGAAGAGGCCAAAATCGTCCCAAAACCTAAGGAAAATCA